GATGATGTGCTGATATAGCTGGAAGCGCAAAACTTTCTGTTTACAAGCAGAGGAAGATGCGCGCTGTACATACGCTTTTCAATTTGCGTATTTTCCGCACTATAAGGTGCACTTAAAAGCCTTTAATCTTCTCAAAAAACGACAGTGTTCCTTATAATCCGGAGCGCCTTATATATGGATCATCATTTTAGACGGTAGGGGGCGGTAAAACTCCTAAGCGGTGAGCAGCCGGTAACAAGAAGTAGACGAATGAGAACGTCCTCGTCTCAGTTCTCGTGCATGCGCCCATAAGGAAGTAATGGAATAGTGGAATAAAGTCGTTATTTATGTTTTTTTCACACAAAAAGTAGTCTCGTCGCTTGATAAACTTATAATTGAGCCGCTGTAGGCACATGGAATATTTAAACCTTTTCTTTAATGACTTTATGGGCCGTCAAGAGCCAGTCCCTTAGGAAGCCTATGGAAGAGTGATCCAGCTCTCAGATTGAATCAAAAATATCTTTATTTGTGTCCCGAAGATGAACGAAGGTCTTACGGGGTTGGAACAGCATGGGGGTGAGTAATTAATGACTTAATTTTCATTTTTGGGTGAACTAACCCTTAACCGAGCATCTGATCATAGCGATGCGGAAATGTTTGTACCACCAATTCCACACTCCAAGTCAAGCTGTGTTTATTTTAGGGCTTTGCAAAGATTAATTGCATAATCTTCCAAAATAAAAGTTTGTGTTAACATAATATATTCGTGTGTGCTATGTATAATTATTTTGTGTATAAACAGAAGAAATGAACCGGATAAGTTTTCCACCTCAAAGAAGGCGGAGCCTCGGAGCCACACCTACCTATTATGTAATTGCCGCAGACCAATGGTAGTTTAAAGGCGTTTCCCAAAATTTTCCCAGAACGTTTGATCTCCAACGAACTCCAAACAAACTTTGTTTTGGCCAGATTTCGAAATAACGTCTGTTTGTTCTTCGATTTAACTTGAAGAATATCGGGGATTTACCAATAGTAAAGAAGACATTGGTGCACAGTTGATCTGTCTCATATCTACGTTTTCTAAAAGGGAAACTGCTTTCAATAACACCAATGTTACACCAGGAGGCTATATGCTTCATTTCATGTAGTCAAAACAATATTCATTATCACAGGAGAATCTGTGCTATTTTTCCCCAGTCTAAACAAGCAATGTCACAAATGTCTGGGTCATTTAATCCAGAGTCAACACGAGCTGCTGTCTAGGAGCTAAAATGTTCTGTGAGGATAAAGTGTCCGTAGACACTCTCTCTCTCTCCCTCCCTCTCTCTCTCTCTCAAAGATTCATGATGTTTACAGCTGGGTAGTGGAAACTTACAGTATCACGTGATCAGCATCGTCCCGATTCATTATCACACTGGAATGTTACCGTAATCCTTTTATCCTTTATAGAGCGAGAGAGAAAGAGCAGTGTGTGATCTAATCAAAGCACACTGAATTATACTGCTAAAAAAAAAAAAAAGCAGGGAAGAAGATTGGAAAACTAGACACTAAAAATCAAAAATGATTAAACAGTGAGAAAGATATTCAGGAGAAAAGAACAGTTATGCGGAAACATCCTAAGAGTAGAAATGTGAATTGAGCATTTTATCATTCACTAAAATTAGTGCCGTCAAATGATTTTTTTTTTCCATGATTAATCGCCATTAAAACGACTTAAGTTTTTAATGGAAGCTATTATAATTGTATAATGTAATAATCTCTTAATTAATAAAAACAACAAAGAAAGTAGCTTATATTTTAAATACTTCTTTAATATCAATATGAATAAAAGGCCAGTATCACTGATTCTAATACAGCTTACATGATGCCTGATTTTTTTTTAACTTGATTTAAGTGAACTTAAAACAATCCTCACATAAACCCATAATAAATGTCATATTTACCTGTGCTCTGTAAAATATACAGAAATTTAATCAAGCTATAAAACAGTCTGCACTGCTTAATTAAATTAAATTTAGATGAATCCTTGTTAAAGCTACAAAAGTTCTTTAGTCAAGAACAGAGAGTGATTTTCTCTGTTCGCTTTGTTCTTTGATTAATATTAATAGCTAAGATCTGCTGCTCACGCACATGATGCAGATCTCACACACACACTTCTCATTTTCACACAACTCTACATTCATTTAAAACTTAAACTCATTTTTAGACTGCTCTTTATGGATACTTGACACTTAAGGAAAGTGCGGGGCGTGTGCTTGCGATTAATTCAGCGAGAGAGAGGGCGGGGCTTTACTTCCTGCTCACGATTGCGCATGTCTGGTCCTGAAAACGCAAGTGCGCAGACTCAAGTCCAAAGATGTCAGCGCCACATCGGGACATTGGCGGCTTCAGTTCTCTCCGATGGAAAAAAGCATGGTGTCACACAAACAGGACATTCGTAGACGGCAAGTTTTCTTTTGTATTGTCGGGCTTGACTGGTTAAAAGCATTTGCATGAATAAGAGGGTTATCATATAATGTAACACTAGCCAAAATTAATTCACGTTAATTAATAAACGTTAATTCTATTTGCTGAGCGGTATGCAAGATCAGTCTTGGCGCCCCCAGCATCATGCAAAACCCCCACCCTACGCTTTATATAAATATAAAAAATATATATATATATTTATTTTAACAAATTGTCTATTTGTCCTGGCTATTTTAATAAGCCAAGCTTTTATTTTGACAGCCAGTTCATAAGCATTTCTTATAACAAGTTTTGAAAGATCGTTGCCATGTTTTGAACGTTACTGATTCACCACATGCAGAGATGAGTTCATGTATAGCAGTATTTACTGTGAACAGAGTTGCTGTCATAATTTCGTTTTAGAAAATATACGCATTTTTAAATGTACTTAGCAATAATAATGCCCCTCCCCCAAATGACACTTGCCAGTCTGACTAGCATTAGCAAGCTGCAAATCATGTCCATGGATGTGATGTAAAAAAAAAAAAACCGAACAAAAAAATAAATAAATCCTTGGTCCTGACTAAATTTCCTGTTTTAATAGGAAATACAAAAAAACTCTAATTAGATCACGGTGACCTTCAGACAAAAGTTAAGTTTAAAAAGGGGGTGATATAGGAATGAATTGAGTGGGAACTTTATGAGCCTCTCCAGCACTGAAATAAATCCTGGTTTGCGCGGAGCGGGAACAGCCTATTCTAAAAGTGTCAGCATGACATGAAGATGAGGCACTGTGTTCCCTGAGGAAGATGAACTCAAGAGTCACGCTGAACCCTTTCTTGACAAAGGGAACAGCCTGCTTCTCTTTTATTTTCACTTGCGCTTTTATCTTTTTCTTTTTACATTCTGAAAAGCATGGGGAAAAGTTCTTGAAATTACATCCTGTCCCCCTGTTTCAATCCAATTTCCAATCTTTCTCCTTGATGCTTTATCCCATTTCTCTCTCTTCCAGTCACGTGAAGTTCAGCTGAGATCAGGGTGACCCATCTTAGTGCACTTCATCCTCTCCAAAACTGTTCCATTAACACCCCATCAGAAAAAATGGCCACAGAAAAAATAAAATAAATAAAAACCACACACACACATTCCCTATGGCCATTAATCATGGTGTGAAACCCAAAACGTTGCACCCACACACACACATATAGGGTATATACAGTACAGCTACTTCACCTCAGTTGAACTGAAAGCCCATCTAGAGCATATAGTGCAGACAGCTTGAGTCAGGTAGACTCATATCAGTGTCTGAGAAAGTGCACTTACAATATATTTCCTGTGGAATGCTGCTTTAACTCATTTGACACGGCAGGAGAAATGGATTGAAAAACATCTTGTGCTGAGCGTATAGAAACATAAATATACATCCGCAGAAATAGAGTTTAACAGACAGCTTGACCTCAGTTAGTCTCTACGTAATATATATATGATCCTCATGGGAAACATACTCAGGATATGAACTGCTCAATTTAAAAACAGACTCTAGGAGAGGCCCCCACATTTCTTAATAGGTGACATTTATTACCCTACAGTAATAAAATGAACAATCAAAATACTACCATCATTTTACTTATTAAAATATTCTATTTGTTATTATTTACTTTATTTAATGGTATTTTTTTCTTCTGTGAGTTGATTATAATATCCACTGCACATTATTTTAAAAATAGGATTTTATACTGCAATTTGATTGAAATGGTTGGAAACAATAGATATCAGGGTTGGGAAACGAAAACTGATACTTTCTCTTCCACATCTTTTTGCATTTGAATGGACAAATACACACAAAAAGGTCAAAATTTCCTTGTGAACACAGTCGGCTATGACTTAAGTGAGTGTAAACAGTTGACAAAGAAAATGCCTGTGCTGCTCTTAAAGTGACAGCAGCCTAATATTCCTGCTGCGTCTCTATGATAACGTTAATCACAAAAGACAAAGAAGAAATTCACTCACTGTTCTTGACTGAACAACTTTTGTAACTACAGTATATTTGTAATGTATATTTTATTATTTTAAGTGCAGTGTTATTTTAAATTTGATCACAGTTTCTGTACCCGGATACCTCAAAATCTTGAAACAAATATTTCAATCATATCTTTGAACAGTGTTATTTATTTGTGAGGTTCCTAATTTGTTGATTTGCTCTATTTTATTTACTGAGTGTTTACTTGTCTTTAATAATACTTGAAATTTATATTAGTTAGGCTAGTTGTTTTTGCTATGGCATTTTTTAAACCAAAGGCAAAGGTACCTTGTGTAAGTGTTCTTTAGTACGGTGGCCGAGCGAACCCAGAGAACGGTGAATATATATATATATATATATATATATATATATATATATATATATTTTTTTTTTTTTTTTTTCAGGATTCTTTAATGAGTAGAAAGTCCAAAGAACATAGGATGTGTGCTTTTACAGCTTAAAACAGTCATGTGACACCTATTTGTAGGTGTCACTAGTCGTGGAAAGTACCTTACAACTCACAACAGCGCCTAATTAAGGGGGTTGAGGATCTCACCTGCTCAGGAAGCTGGAGAAAGAAAGTCGAACCGGGTATCCATACCGGATCATGCGGACCATCTCCAGAACCCCCACATACTGGAGCTGTGAGGACACGTGGAAGCTGTCAAACACATCAGGCTTTCCGGTACTGTTGGGCCTGACGCACTGAACAAAGTGGGGGGTGCATGCTTGCAGTTTACTGGTAATCTCACACAGAGAGTTCTGGAACGAGACAGAGCAGGAGAAAAACATGACGTTACATTCAGACAGATCAGTTTGGCTCAGTGATTCCATTTTTGTAGCAACATGAGTCATGGTGAATCCTCCTCTCACCATCTGTCACCACTTACGAGAAGGGCCAAACCAAACCTAGGGTTGTTGTTTTTTTCCCTCCTTTTTTGCATTATCTGCACTAACTTTGAGAAAAAACCTGTAGAATGGATTTAAACAAATACTTCATACTGTCATCATTTACTCGCCCAAAAGTCTTTTTTTGGTGAAACACAAAAAGAGAATAAATTATAAATGTACAGGCCACTCTATTCCATATAATGAAAAGTAATGGGGACTGGAGCTGTCAAGCTCTGAAATGAAAAAAAAAGGAATAAAAACTGAACCATATATGCTGCGAATGTGACTTCATGACTTCAGGTGACTTGAAATACAGTGTATAGGTTGTATAGACATTTTGTTTTGTTGCTTTCTTGTCACTTTGGAACTTAAAAGTCCAGATTTTTGTTCACAATCAGTATATGGAAAAGAGCAGCTAGTAGACAGAATCAGTCAAATTTATGCATTTGGTAGATGGTTTTATCTCAAGTGGCATTGCGCTAAAGGTAAATATGCTTTATCAGTTTACATTTAGTGGTTCAGACTCATAATCCTGGCTTTGCTAGCACTGTTTGAGCTACAGGAATGCCACATTTGGAACCCCGAGAGGTAAAATATTTTCATAGAACACAGGCTTTTAACTCCGAGTGAACATGTGTCTCCAGCATGGGAGGTGGGAGCACGAACAAGGGCTCTAAACATCACAGTCTCTAGCGTCAGTTGCTAACGCACCTCGTGAGATGAGCGGAGTGAGGTTTACCTGCACAGCTCGTACTAACGGGCCTCTGTTACACTCACCACCCTAAGCCTTTCTCCCATCCGGGTCACGGCACCAATGTAACCGCCTCGGTTCTACACGCACTGCTTCGGATGGGATTTGAACTAGCGCACTAGCATGGATGCTAAAAACCAGTCTCTAGCAGCGGAGTGACGTTTTACCTCCACAACTCTTTACTTGCTGGCCTCTTTTACATATAGTTTGGGCTTTAAATAGAGTGGAAATAATATAAAATTACAACAATTAATAAACTTGCAACTGTTACTTGGTAACCCCCCCAAAAAGCTGGATCTAAATGACGACGTCATAAGCATATGAGTCTGTGCTGTGTCAGCACTGTCAGCAATGAGCCTGCTATCGTCATGTGACACTTCTACTGACGCCAGCCGGCAGAAACGAGACGGGAAAGACGGCGCTGCAGGCCACAACATACTGTACAATAAGCCATTCAAAGACAAACAAAAAAAAAAAAGCTGTCAATTACGACAGTTCCATGTTTCCGTGAGGGTGAACGCTAATGAAAAACACATTAGCTTAGATGTTATTTATTATTGTTGAAGGATTTCATGCTTCTTCTACTGCTCTCGTCTGGGAGCTATTTAAGCGTGGATAAATAGCACATGTGTTTGTGTGCATCAAATGTTTTTTTTTTTTTTGTGTGTGATGTAATCATCCCTGAACAGAGGGGACAGATTATATAGAAACACTGTGTGCTCTTCCCATAAACCCCTGCATTACCCCTTACATCACCTGAGGCAGAAACAGGGGAATGAAATCAGGTCACGTAGTCTTAGCGCGTGTGAGCATGAACAGATCTCTGCATTCCATTGGTATGAGAATGAGGTCATGATTAAAGCGAGAACATGCCTGCATGCGCACAAGAATGGGACGTTATTTTATTAGGGAGGTGTGTTACAAAGGGACACTTGCATTGGTAGAAAGGGAAAGGTGTGTTAGTTTACGTTGAAAACAACAGGAACAGGAGTCAAATGAGGTGCATGATGCCCTGTGAATGTCTGTATTTTCATATCGTATTGTCTTATACGCTTTTGTTTTCAGGTTTTAAAAATCTCAGTGGATTACAAAGTTTGTGATATATAATATATAACACATTTTTCTTAAATATATCCAGTATATGCATATGTGTGTATTTATATATACAAAATAACTATACACAGTACACACACATATATTATGTGTAAACAAATTGTTAATCTAAATAATCTAAAAATTAACCATCTAAAAAACTATGTTTTGTGAAGCATCTAAAGCTTCTTGAATCTTAATAGTACAGTGGACATATTTAAATAGGACTATTTGTAAGTATTTCATTTTATGATACATGATAAAATGACTGTTTCCAAGTCTACATATGAGATCAGTGATGGTGTGTTGAAGACATCAGTGAGCTTTTCTCTCCCACAGAAACAGTGAGCCTGCTGTTCATTCATACAGAATCCAATTCCATCTACAATCACCCACCCTAATCGCTAAAACATCAGCAGGCCAAAATCCTTCCTCCCCACAAAACCACACTGGGCCTATGAGACCGGCAGGACACTGGAACACTTCTAGTGTTGTTCAAACCACAAACACATGAGCCTTTGAGATGTCTTCCTGGCAGATCTATAATGTTTAGATGCAAGGCAACTTTTTGTGCTGTGAATCTGCAGGCTTTATTATGAGACTAAATGCGGTTGGAAAGAGGAATTTAAATCCATGGAGTGCGATGAACATCTGGATGGGCAGGTTTGGGGGTTGGTAGTGGTTCTAATGTGGACTTACCCTGAGCTGCACTGCCAAAGTGACTGGACCACAGCGCTCAAGCCTCTGCAAGAAGGACGTCGCTCCCTTCTTCTTCAGGAGCTGCAGAGGAGAAAAAAAAAAAGACTTTTAGACCATCCATCCATCCAACTTTATTTACCACTATTACATGCTATTTTTTAATAAACATCTTTAATGGAATATTTTATGACATGAACCTATGCCACAGAATGAAAAAGTAATTGCAACTTTCATCTCACAATTCAGACTTTTTTCTCACAATTGTGACTATAGAATTGTCTGATATAAAGTCAGAATTGTGAGAAATAAACTCGAAATTCAAAAATATTTTTCTCAGAATTGCAGACTCATGCAATATTTTTCTCAGAATTGCAGACTCATGCAATTGGGAGACATAAAGTCAGGATTGCATTATATAAAGTCACAGTTAAGTCAGAAAATGTGAGATATAAACTTGCAATTCTGAGAAAAAAAGTCTATTTTTCCTTAGAATTGGACATTATAACTGAGAAAACATGTCAGAATTGCATGATTTAAAGTTGCAATTGCGAAAAAAAAAAAAGTCTGAATTGCGATATACACACTCGCAATTGCATTTTATAGTCAAAATTGCATGTAATAAAGTCAGAATTGCCTGATATAAAGTCGGAATTGCGAGAAAAAAAGTTTGAAATTAGTTTATATCTTGCAGTTCTGACTTGCAGGCAGAACGTTAAATCACGCAATTTGGTCTTTATATGTAAACTCACAATTGCGAGAAAATGTCACAATTATATTTTAAAATGTTTAATTCTGTGGATATATGAAAATGAACCTTTATATGAATTGTATGACCTTTTTTTTTCAAAATCTAAAAAGGTTAGCAAAAGTTTGTTTTTCCTTGAGTACCATATTTGGATTTTTGAACCACTTGTATGGATCATACATGATAAACAGAGCTCATAATGGAGGAGAGAAAAAGAAGCCCAAACTGAGCAAAAACATGATATTTATATGGTCAAAAATAAGATGAAATTATGATAGCTTGCAATGTAAATCAATAGCTATGTATACATCCACCTATTTTATGCACATTTTGAGATATTGCATTAAAAATCTAATAATAATAAACTTTGGATGGAAACACCAAGACACGCATAAATTCAAAAAATGTGCATAAAAAAGACATTTTTTTTTATCTGATAAAAAGACAAACTATGATGGAAACACATTTACTGCATAAATCCCTCCATGCGCAGCAAAAGACTTTTCCTCAACAGAGGATGTCATTGGATTAACCAGGGAACCAATTTCATTACACGGCATCTCAAAACTTGGTTTGATCATTTTGAAATGTCTGAGCCAAAGTCTGTCATCAAAATGATTTGTTTTAATTCCCTTCCAGGACTGTCGCACATGATTGCATTCCACAAAACCAAGAGTTTGAACATGAGATAACATGACAGCATTTACTGCGCTTCATCTGCGTGCCCTGAGACTAAGTCTGATGTAGGAAAAAAAGAACCACAGTAACTTCCCCCATTGCAGCAACTTCCATTTTTCTGGAAGTATAAAGCATCCCAGGAAGTGACGGTTTTGTTCTCTTGAACAAATGGGATGCAAACGCTAAGTTATTTGCAAATGTTTTATGTGATATTAAGAACAAGTTAAATTTCCAACTTTGGAAGGAAACATAATACTGAGATCTTCATAAAAAGTACAGGAGACTACTTGCATTAAACGGATATAGATAAATCAGCTATCTCTCAATAATATCTTAGAACAATGATAATTTTTATGACCAAATGTGCACATTAAATATGACACAGTAGGTTTTATAGGGTTAACAAAGAACATCCACTAAACGTTTGACAAGAAACACTCCAGATATTTTGTCCTACTTTTTCATTTATCCATCCAATTTTTTATAATGTTATAGGTTTCATTTGTTCACTTTTTTAAAAATGTTTTGCTTAAAGTGTGCTTGTGCTATGTTACCCTAAATTAATGTCACTTTCATTAATATCTTGTTATTGCAATGACATTCATACATTTTTAAGAATGGTTTTAGTGTTAGAAAGACCACTTTATATGAGGAGAGTAAAGAAAGGAAGGAGATCTAGATGTGACTATTCATCTTCATGCCTTTTAAAGATGATGTTGGCATGGCAACCGAGTTGTAACACCACATACATAGTAAAAATACACAGTTTTCTGTATATTCATCCAGAAGGGAAATACTGACGGTACTATTTGGGTTAAAAGCTGAGTGTGTCTATGGGTTCCCTTTGTAAATAGTAAATTGCAAATTATGATTTATAAGGATTAAAAAGGAGGAGTGGGTGGATTTTTACCATTATTGGGGGGATGTGTACACACATTGCCGAAACACTTTGTTGTTCAAACACCATGTAAAATTAAAATTTTCATAATAGGTCCCCTTTAAATGCTGAGCAAGCAATCTCACTGGTTGCAGAATTGCCAGAGGCCAATCAGCGTGTGCCATGCAGTAGCTTGAAGATTGTATGTAAAGGACCAATTAGTCTGTGCCCAATAGAATGAAATGACTGAACTAGACATTTATTTGAAACGGATTTACTTTTGCAACAGTATATATGCATTTACTGTATATTGGATGAATTGAATGTGTACTTGCTTAATGATAACACAAATAAAATACAAATCTTACTCTTAGGCCGTGTGTCCACTAAAGCGTTTTTCCTCGCGGCAGGCGTATGTTTTCAATTGTTTTCAATAGGAGCGGCGCATTTTTTTAACACCATGAGCGTTTTCTTCACGCTGTAGCGCCGAGACTTTTTTACTGGTCGCCGAGAGTTAATCTCATCTCACTTTTTACCCAGCCGTCCAATCACAGTGGAGGAGGGGCGGGACTAATACCACACCGACCAACTGTCACGGCATTCTTTCAGTACGACGACATAAACCAGCAGAGCTAACCGAACAAAGTGGATGATTTTTTTTTCGTTTGAAACAAATGATCTGCGAAATCAGTTACAAGTAAACTGTGCTGCGGATATTACGTATCATAGCAAAGAAATGTCTCAACGGAAAAAAAAAAAGCACTACGCTGCCAAAACGCTCTCAAGCGCCCAAAGCACGCCGTTTTCAGCTGGCTAAAAACAGTGGACTTACATATTAGAAATGCCAAGTTCATGAGTTTAGTTCATATGCTGCAACACACATACGGATCAAAATATACTTTAAAATGCAATGCAAGTCATTTTGGCTAAAATAATATACCGAATGCATGAATGCAAATATTGAAAAGTACCATAATAATACCAAGGCAGAGCAATTTCAGGCCCTTTGGCTTGTTTTCCCACTACCACTGATCTGTTGACGTAAGACAAACATGTTGCGACAACTATCTGTTCTTTTCAGTACAGCTGGTGTCAGAATCAAAATATATTTTCCCAGCATCAATTACAAGTGATATAATGTTGCTTTAAAAACAAACGGTTCAAACTGTGCTGTACAAAAAGGAACAGTTTGTTTTTTCTTCAGACAAACAGCTGTTCTGGTAGAAAAGGGCACACACCGATGACACGGCTCAGTCATTTAGCCACTCAGAAGGAAATAAAATGATTATATTTTTGCAGCAAACTGCTGGTTTAAATCAAAATCTCTTCGGGGTGCTGTGATTCCCAGAAAACACCATCACCACACTACATGTTCAGGACACACTTCCAATTTCTCTCAAAAGTCAAACCAAACCACTCATTTGTGATTTTCTGTTTCAAACTGCATAGGATCACATCATGTTACTTTATATTACGGTCCAAGTCACTCTATAAGAACTGAATTACTGCTTATGTAAGAGTGTAACCAGGGGTCTCACATACTGGGTTTCTTATATAAGACTGTGCCAATTAGACAGCTCATACACCCAATGACGATCACACACATTGCAGCACTGACTTGACAACTGACACAAGAAAAGGAAAGGAGAGATGGCATGTACGATTAAGAGACAGATACAGGGACTGAAGAACACAAGAGAGACGAAAGCAAGGGTCAAGGGCGAGGGTTTCCACTCAATAACAGTAAATGACAGGCTTTACAAACAAAAGATACTTCATCTCATTTTGTTTGGAATTTGATGGACGCAAGAGATAAGATTATTCAAAACGACTGAAATGAAAAACAATTATAAACTATTAACAAAAGACTCAAAACAGCAATACACATGTCATGGGGAGAGCAAAATTCTTTCTGAACATTCCCATGACTAATTTGTGGCTTAATTCTTTAAGTTGTTCCTTTGTTTTGGGTAAATTGTGGCCACGTTTTACTAATTCATTCCCTCGTTTATCAAAAAAAATCTGACTAAACAAGATACAAATTAGTACAACACGGCCACGATTTATCTGAAACGAGAGATCAAATTAAAAAAAAACAAAAAAACAACAACATGGCAACAAAATGTATGCTTATTTCCCCCGAATGTGGGCTCTGTACAATACATTATTGATTGTATAAGAGATGTGCAAAGTTGGAAAAATTGCTAATATTCACACATATTTGAATTCTATAAGGTCCTTAATCTGGCAGTTTATTAATGTACACGTTGCTGTGACATTAAAATTGCAAAGCAGATAAAACAATCTGTCACACTTTAGATTACAGTAGGATCCAATTCTGACAAATAGAAACTATTAATTATGACTGTTGGCTCAATAAACTCATAAATGCTGCTTATTAATAGTTAGTAAGGTAGTTATTAAGTCATAGTATTGAGTAGGATTAAGGGACGTATAATATTGTCACGCATAATATTAATATGTGCTTTTTTATAAGTGCTAATAAACAGCCAATGTTAACAATATGCATGTTATTAACATAAGCAGCTAGTCAATATTGAGAATTAGACCCTAAATGAAAGTGTTACCAAATAATCACTGTACACACTGAAAATTTAGACTGAAATTTTATTTAACTTAACTGAAAACAGTTCTGGACTCAGTTGAAGAATCCAGTTAAAGAGAGTAGAATATAATTTTTCCTGAATGACATACAGTCTTGTTCTCATTACTATACAATGAAGAAAAAAAAAGTGATTTATTATTTACTTTAAGTGTTTATACAACTGCGTGGTTGTATTTGTTCATTTCAGATTGTTTCTTTTGATTTTGTGGTGAATTCGGAAATGTTTTTGTGAGATTGACCCTAGAAATGAGCTCAGAGGTAATGTCTATGCCGGAGAGAACGAGTGAAACGAGAGACTGACAGCACATCGCTGAAACACAAGCTTGTTCTGAGAGAAAAACAGACTGCGAGTGTAGGAAAGGGAGGAGGGTGACTGAGAAATGCAGCAGAGATAGAGCTGTGTGAAGAGCAAACACCCAGAGTGACGCATTTGTGTGTGTGTGTGTGTGTGTTTGTGCCTGGTGTGACGTGGTCGGTTAAAGCCCCGTGTTTTCTCTGAATGGGATATCTGGATGTGGAAAGCTGATCAATGAACAATGTATTTGGGGTAACGGTGTCTAATTTAGGTCACTTCCTAGCACAAACTCGATAAGCTAAAAATAAAGCGGCTCAGGGAAAGGCACTGTTTGTTTGGTCATAGACTGTGTCCGACTTGTTTGTGGCAGTCATGTGGTGTAGGATCGCCGCTGTGTGAGTTTGTGGAGGATTGTGAAGTCACACGGACTGCAAACATAACGCACGTCATAGTCGATGGAGGGAAGCCCACATACACACAACACACATTACACAAAGGTCTGTTCACACGCCTGATGTGACCAAATGACGCAAAATAAAGAGTATTGGTCAATTGTATAATTCTTTTCCGCAGCCAAACAAATTCACATCAAATCCGATTTTCTTCATTCTTTCAACAAATCATTATTGCTTTTGTCACAATAAAAACAACAAATAAATAAGTAAATACAAATGTAAATAATAACACTAATTTAATAAAATATTTATGATTTTTTTGTTTTATTTGTTGTTAATAAATAATATTTTATATGATTTTGTAATATATCATGTAAAATAGATTTGTTTTTTAAATACATTTAAATAAAACTAAACTAATAACAAATAAAACACTTTTATAATAAAATTCCTTTACAAAAATATTTAAATACCTAAAGTATGTATACATATATAAATGTATGAATTATGTATTTATTTTGTTTACACAAAAATTAAGTAAATAAAACACATCAAAACACATAAATAAATAAAACACACTGCAATAAGTGTTTAAAAAAAATACCAAATAAATACATGCATATTTTATAAAAATATGTATTTACTTATTTTTGTTTTATTTGTTGTTTTAATAACTAAATATGTTATATAATTTCATATTGTATAAATATTCATATTGAATATTGTATAAAATATTTAAAAATATAGATTTTAATAAAAACAAATAGAATACATAAAATAAAATAATAATAATAATAATAATAAAAGTATTCATACAAATATAAATGTATAAACATACACATTTATTTTATTTAAACAAAAAAAAACATAAATTAATGAATCAAACAAACCAAAAAAAATCAAACTAAAATACTTTGCAAATAAAAAAAAAAAAAAAAAAAATGAAACTGGGGTAAATAGGCCGTGAAGGTTCCACTGTTATGAATTAAAGTACCTTGTTCAGTTCCACATATTTCTTGGCATCTCTGGCAGGATTTAGTGTATTGCTCTTGTTAAGCAAAGTGCCTTTGGGCCCACGAAGCTTCATCCGCTGGTGGTGGGGAACCAATGAACCCGTTTGAGTCAGCTTACACTGGAACATTTGATGGATGAGCACATTCTCGCTTGCTACACAGGGGGGGGGGGAAGAGAGAGATGGAGAGAGAAAATAAACACAAGGCTACACACGTTTGGAGCTTAATTACGCCAGGCGCCAGAGCTAATTGTCTCCCCTCATTAACACCATCCCCCACGAACAGCCTCACAAACAACATAACAGCGCCCCATTCAGATCGCAACGTGTGCACACGCTCCTGCCTCATGTCGACCTCTGACCTGCTTAACGTGGGGGAGAGGAGCTGGAATGTCAAGCCTTCCAGGAAATGCACTGCAGCAGGTACGGATGTTAAGATTACAGTTGTTGGGGATTAACAAGATGTTAGTTAGGTCACACTACTAACTGGAAACAGCTACCTGTACTCTGTTAAAATCAGTAGTGAATTGTGTGCAGTCTAGAGAATGTTGGAAAGCCACCTGAAACTCTAATAAGTGCAGTACAAACAAAATATTGGGCAAAATAGTTACAAAATAGTACAGCTTTTGACAGGAGCTGCGGTTACCATGGTCCATTTTTTTTGAACATCAACAGGTTGATGCAGCACAAAACTCATAAAATCCTTACTTTTCATAACAAACAAGATGTTTTGGGGAAGAACATCCTTGTTTTTGTCCAGCGAGCCCGTCAGGTCGTAGGTCATCTGCAATATAGGACACACAAACACACCAGTTCGCAGTTAGAGTTCACCCCTAATAATAGCCCTCACGCTCAGCATGACATAGCGTGTTGACTCTCCGGAGGACTTCTCAGAAGTGTGTGACTAGGGGTTTGTGTGCGAGTCTCCGACTAAGCACATGACCGTGAACTCAGCATGAGCATGTGTGAACTCGCAGTTTCCCGTAACCCACCTTGCCGGCATAGTGGTTGACAGTAAACGATGGGCCCTGGTCTTTGGGTGGGGGGTTCCCATTGCCATCCTTGGTTGTGAGGGAGACGGCGTCCGTGCAGGAGGAATCCAGCTGTATCTGCACTCGCTTATAAAGGTTGACTTCACATGGCCTGAGGGACTGACTCTCCTCATCAATGATGCACAGCAAACCCTGAGGCTTCTGTAACACACACACACACAGTTACACTGATGGCTATTGTGGTAAAATGAGAAAGCAATAATGTACTGTAGGATGGTCAATAGAGCAAAATAAACTCAAATGTGATCAAAAATTTTACTTTAGCCTGAAGGGATTCATTTTATGATCACAAATGGTTGATTAAACAGTTATTTTTATCAAGTTGAAATTATTATTTTATTATGAGAAGAAAAAGACCATAGAGTGCCTAGAGAGACATGGAACTATTATGTAGGATATATATATATGAAGAGTTCAGATGCAAAAGCCTCTAAGTGCCATTTGAAATTTTCTCCTAGAATGATCATTTTTATCAAGCTTGTATATTTAAGTTCAGTAATTTCACTTAAATGACAATTAATAGGTAATCTTCATTGCAATTTAAGTGAAATTACTGAAGTTAAATATACAGCCTTGATAAAAATGATCATTCTAGAAGAAAATTTCAAATGGCACTTAGAGGCTTTTGCATCTGAACTCTTCATATATTGTACATCCATCTGACTGCAGCATGGAAGGATTGACCAATCTTTGAACAATTCTTACAGTGTAAGAACTGCTGAAAAAAACATGACACATTAAATGAAAGTGACATGTGAAGGCCAATTACAGTGGCCAATACTCAAATCCTCTGCGTTTAACCCATCCAAGTTTGTGCGCACACATTAGGAGCAGGGAACAAACCATGACAAACACACACCCGAAGCAGTGGACAGCCATTTTTGCTGTTGCGCCCAGGGAGTCTTACTCTCTTAACCTTTAGGCGACGACTGCTCCAAAAACAAGTCCTGTATGGAAGATCTTGTATATACTTGGAAAAGTATGATGATGTTGCCATGTATTTTTTTTTTACTACTACGGTAAAACGAGAAGGTGACATTAACTCTTTCCCCGCCAAACACGGAATTTTCCGTGTTTAATGAAAAAACGCATCTGCGCCAAACACGGAATTTTCCGGGTATCCGTGTTTTAGGTGGTATACGGTAAGGAAGACCTGCGCGCATGTCCTGAATGATTGCGCAACTCTTTGATCAGAGAAACAGATTGCAATCGTCTCAAACAGTGGAGTAGTGAGAATGTATCAGACAGACAATGCAGAGGTATATGGCTGAAGTACTGGAGGTTAATGGACTCGGAGTCCGATCACTCTTTATTTGATAATTCTGAATCTGATCGGGACGAAGTAGTCAGTGAGAGAGATGCACATGTTCATGCTAGCCATGGACGTGCCGCAGATAGATCGTATAATATTATGACACTATAATATGTATGTGTGTGTGCAGGCATTTATGTGTGGCTGTCTAAATATGAAGGTGTAATTGTCAAATTATTTCTCTCTTTGTGCACATTTACCACATTGTAATATGTATTTGTGTGTGTGTGTGTGTGTGCGTGTGTGTGTGTGTGTGTGTCTAGGCCTGTTTATTGTAATTCCAATTATTCATTATTCACAGGTAGAACACAGAGAGGCAGAGGCAGAAGTTTTATTGCAAAAGTTACATTTCCCTTACATCCTGGGAAATTTGATATATTTTACATTTATTTTATGTTTTTAATTTATTTTGGAAAGTTTTATATATGAAGGAAACAACATCTGAATGTATTCTGCTTTTAAATGCACTTGTTTGATAAAAACACCTTTTTCTCAGTTTTTTGTCCAAAATGTTGTGTTTTTGACAAAACCTACCTCTGTTCAAGAGGCAATAAAAAAAGAACAGATGAAGATAAAATAAAAACGTTTTTTTTGCCTAAAAGCAGAGGCTCAGATCTTTATTTTTATATATATCATCTTCATATATTCATGGAAGAAAATATTCAGCGGGGGCATTCAAATTTAGCGAAAATCGTCAAAAACCCTGGCGGTGGCTGGCAACTTTTTTTTAAAACGCTGGCGGGGAAAGAGTTAAATACTTTGACCCCATAGTTTACATGCCTTGTGGTTTGACGTACTTGACTAGTAGACTTGGTGCAGCTGTTTATCAGTAAGGGACATGTGAGAAAACATGAAATAGGCTGTAGTAAAACCCCCTCAAATGTACGCAGAATATATGTAGTGAGGAGAGGTAGAGCACAAATGTGTGTGTGGCGAGTCAAAATGTGTGTAATGTGCTTAAGTGTGTAAACCGCTGTGTCATTGGTCTCGACAAAAGCGAGAAGTCATTCCATGACTCATAAAATGGTGACATCTGACAAACGGCTAATAGAGTCATAGTGTAAAAGATGGGCTTTATCACATCTTTGCGACACCTAGGGGAATTCAGCGCGTCTGGATGCGTGTTAGCCTTTACAAAAGAGTCAGCGGGTGCATCCGTTACTGAGTCAGTAAATGAAGAGACGGTAGCATCAGCCATTAAAGAGACAACAGAGGGGCTCTCGTAAAGGGTCAACAGCCTCGGGGTGGGGAGAAAGCTTTCTCCCCGGCTCTCGGAAAGCCACGACTGTGTACCTGGAAGAAGAAGTCCAGCACCGCTGTCTGGTTGCCGAGGGAGCGTAGCGTCTCCATGGCAACCCCCTCCTGCAGACATTCCTGCTGCTCCTGCTGGAAGAGCACCTCTGCTGTGTACTGCCGGATACGCTCGTTCACCATGTTAATGCACAGCTACAGACAGAAACACACAAGGGAAAAGCCTTTGTTAAGCCTCTGTACTCACAGCATATGGACACTTAGTTATTAAATAGAATAAAATACACTTTCGCTGAAGAATTGATTAACTCGTTCATTTCTCATGTTAATACATCTTTGTTGTCAATATAGCCAAGTACAGTAGGGCAGGTTCCTCCTTAACTATGGACACTTCCGCACTTTTTGGGAGTTTTACAAAAATAAACGAGTGTGAAAAGTAAGAGTTTGGTTATGCAGAACAATTCTGTTAATTTCCACCACAGTAAGTTCTAACCGTGTGTTTTTTAGTTTTTATTTTAATTTAATTTTATTATTATTTTTTTTTTGGGACTAGAAATGATACTTGGTAAAAATATTATCTTCTGTTCGGACGTGCCTTCATTTTTATATTTTTTCTTCACACATTACACGTCATATTTTTTTCAACCTCTTTACTGACACTGTTGTATTTAAGTACAGTAACTTAATTCATGTTGATTTGCAAAGGATGCATCATATATAATTATAATAAATTACTAATATTACATTTTTTATCAAAATAAGACAGACAGACAGACAGACAGACAGACTATATATGGATAGATATATACATGCATATGAAGAGTTCAGATGCAAAAGCCTCTAAATGCCATTTGAAATTTTCTTCTTTAATGATGATTTTTATCAAACTTGTATATTTAAGTTCAGTAATTTCCCTTAAATAACAATTAATAGGTAATTATCATTGCCATTTAAGTGAAATCACTGAACTTAAATATACAAGCTTGATAAAAATGATCATTCTAGAAGAAAATTTCAAATGGCACTTAGAGGCTTTTGCATCTGAACTCTTCATGCGCATATATATATCCATATACATGTCTATATATGGATACTGCTCATTGAAAGCAAGCATGTGTGTTTTATAAGTTAAAGCTTACACTTATGAAGTATATTTATATATTTAGCATTCCACTTATTTTCCAAACAATATCTATGCGCGCAAAGAGCTACAGTAGCATGTGCGTTAATCAGCTCTTAACGAACATGGCTGTGATAAGTGTTCCACGTTAACCCTTCACACTCATTAACTCACAGTTCCACACGCTACAGTGAGCTGCTTTATTCCAGGAATTCATCCTAACATCCCAGTCACTGGACTCATTTAAGTCATTTATCATCGCAATCCGGTCGAGATGAAAGTTAAAGAAACAAGGAACCCAAATAGAAGGGAATTCAAAAAGACTAAGCATGTGAACATAAGGTACATTTTTTTTCTGATGGAAAGGAGTAGGTGGTGGCCTTTTCCCCAATAATAGAATTCCTCAGCCACACTTCAACTTCAAACCATCTAGCTGCTGATTTAAGATATGTTTTTCATAGCTCTCAAGAGCTTATATATGATGGAGCCTTTTTGATATTGCCGATCAAAAGTCCATCTGAGGGAAGTGCACGTTCTTCCAAGTTTAATGTGGCAACACACACTGGATGAAGTACAAACAGCAACAGTGGAAGTAATGGAGAGGAAAGAAAACAAGCATGTTAGAAAAGATCATCAATTTCTCATCATGAGGTTTTACAGCACTACGGGATGTCATATGGAAGACTGCCCAAGCGCTGACACCAATTCAACACACATCGTGAAAGAAACAGATGAAGAGTTTGGAGAAAGAGAGGGAGATTTCCAGAGCACTGAGCTTTTGTGCTCATCCATGGAGAAAAGATCCTACCAATGCATAGAGAACATCCTACCAATGGCAGACAACATAGATACAACATTATCTTAAAAATGACTTACAGCACTTCTAACTGATGGACCGGTAAAACCATTAGTGTTCCATGTCAAAAATGACAGGCCTTATTAGCGATTATTGTATTTCTTTTTGAAAGTGGTTTATTGTAGACCTTATTGATCTAAGCTTACATACTTCTGAGTTTGAGTGAAAATTATTTTATTTTGGGCGGGTCAACACTAAAAGAGCAACAAGGTCAAACCCCCACCCCCCAAAAATGAACAAAAATGAATTTTCATTTATTCATTTATTTGTCATTTTAACTGTTGGAAACAGGGTGTAAAAGTGGACTTCAAAGATTTCTTGTCCTGTTGCACCCTCTATAGGCCATGATCAGCAACTAGTCAGGCTTAAAGTACCTTGGCAGAGAATACAAGTCGACTAGTCTGTGCAACCCCTAGTGGACTTCTTGATTTCAATCAGACCCAATTCTGATACTTCCACAGTTATATCTAGTGGGTTTTAAATGCCTAGTTCCTACTCCTTAAAACGGTCACTCGCCCCTTATTTGTGTTTTCTCTCATTCTTGTGCCCTTGAAAGGGCACAAGAACCGTAAATCTCTTTTGACGTGGACCAAAGATGTATATTTAGGAGACAAGCAATCGACATCTCGCTGTCCTGTAAGCATTCCCCAACCTGTCAAGCACACCAACACAAGGAGACCTCCCAGGGGATTGTGGGTAAGCACTTGTGTCTTATAGCACCAGCCCTGATTTACACCTTGTCCAACACTGTCAAGAAAGATATCCAGGAATGGCACGCACACACACCCTACCTGTCTACCTCTCAACAGTTGTCAAGATGGATATCTGGAGAACAGATCCACACACAGACAGATTTACCATTTAGATCATCAGTGCGAAAATTTAACTGAATGTCTGTTAAAGCAATGCTGTTCCGATCCACGACATTTGTTTGTCGATGTGCTCTAATTTCTTAGCATGGTTCAACAAGACTCTAGTACATTTCATTTGCACATAGAGTCTGGAACCGCTCCATTGAGAAACGTTTCCTTCCTTGTAGGCGGGTTCACTATTAAAGTTCAAATCTATTGGATCTGCCCAAAGTCACTCACGATCTGCCATAGACGTATGTCACGCGCCGAAATGGCTGGAAACAACAAGTCCGAATGATCAGAGGATTGTTTACAATAGGATTTCAGTCAACGAGAGCTGCAGGTTTTGTTAATCTAGGAACAATTATTAATTCGAAATGTATATTTGACACGAAGGACAGTGATATATTCATTCAACGGTGGAAGCCGTGTCTAATCATTACAAATACGCCGCTGTGGTCGTTTCTGATCTGCCGCAAATGCTGTAGCAGCTACAGTGAATGATCAGTCTGTCTCTATCTGCAGATCTATGTGTAATAAACAACAATTTTTCATATTACGTCTTATTGTTTCTTAATTACCTTAATTATGGTCTTCAAAGTATGTGTTTGTACATTTTTATGTGGCATTTAGTTTTTTTTTTTAGTAAAACAAAATCAACCATTGCCATCTAAAACTGAAAATCAAATATCTTCAAAGTATGGGTTTTCACATTTTTATTTATGACTATTTTTAAAAAATCACAACCAATTTGTATGATTTACAACATGTAAAACTGACACACCAACCACCTGCACGAGTGCACAAAGGGGCTCAAAATGTTCTATTCATCACAAGAATCGGGAAATTTACAGTTGGGAATATGAGCGACTGACATGACTCCTGAGCGGATCTTCAACCATAGTTTAGCAGCCAGGACTCGGGGCTTCCGAACACCGCGAACACCAGGCTAAACCGTCCGTCCAAAATGTCACGGTCATCGTGCACGAGCTGCCCAGCACAAACTTCCAAACTTTCTGCCTCCTTCACTTGGTCCTCCGTTGTGCAACAAGAGGTGAGATGATAACAATCCGGCTTTAAATTCTTTATATTCGGCAGTTTCTTTTCCAACAACGGACCGAATAGCTTCTCACGTCTTTCTCCGCTGCCATTACTGAACTCAAACTGACGCGCTTACATCAACGTCATCGTTCTCAGCCACTCCCTCTATTCGCTGATTGGTCCTACAAAAAATTGATTTCTGGAAACCTAACGATACACAGCAGTACCAGACGCAGTACTGAAGGAAAATGAAATTGAGCGGAAGTGCGTAGGAGGGCGCAGCCAGGCTACTAATTTCTTTCCCGTCACACTGCAATGAAAAATGGCCAACCAAGAAGATTCACACTTTTGGTCATAAGCAACAGTTAATACACAAATCCTCTTTCACCAGCCTAAAGCCTAGTTCACACAACATGATTTTAAGCCAGATTTGCAAATCGTTGAGCTCGCCGACAGGTCAGGGTGCAAATCGCGGAATAACCATAGAATAGAATCGTTTGTAGAATCGTAAAGTGAATCGTTACCTCCTGTTGAGGATCACTCACGTTGTGTCGTGTGGTGTGAACAGAACAACAACGAGAATTTCTTGACACTCCGGATTTCACAGAGAGCTATATACTGTGAACCGCACAGTTCAGCCCGACGTTTTAAAATCATATAGTGTGAACAAGGTTTGTTTGTGAACTTGATTAGCAGGCCAACACGCTAAACCAGCCAAGACTAGCATACCGACTTTGGTTGGTTTAAGCAGGATTCAGCAGGATACAGAGTGTTCTCAAGCAGATGCCCTTATATGACCAATCAGCTGTTTTAGCAGTTGGAAGTTGATGAGTAGCTCAGAAAGGAACAGCTATTTATTAACCATTACAACACAGCACCCCTAATTTACTTCATGCATCCTCCCAATAGAGTCTATGACAACAATGGCATTGGATGGCGCCAAATCCAGGCTGATGGTTAATGGGTCAAAAACAAGTGTGCACAGAGCCTTCTTTGTGTGTTGTGCCAAGGGTTCAGCTGAGGAGAAAACACCCACCCCGTATACGTCAACCTCATCTGTCCAGTGCAAAAACAAAGCTTGGACAAAAGACACGGTTGCTGAGAATTCTGGGCAGGGGGTGGAGGTGCACACGTGGCGTCTTAGCCTTCAGTCAGACATTTGTCTCTCTCCAAAACACTAAAATAACAATTCGGGGGCTTGACAGCAGCAGTAGCTTTATTTCACACTAATCTTTTTATATACCTTCATATCATGTATAATATATGTATATACATTCATGGCACACTCAGCTATGCGCATAGATCCGGCTAAACAGCTCTGAAGTACGGCCACAACAAAAGAACTCGTTTCACAACAAGCTGAATGATCGTTCTCAACTGATCGCTCTGGGACATATGGATACAATCTGAGTTTAATCTGGAGTTTGAAAAAAAAAATGTAAAATTGTGTCATTTACTCACCCTCATTTTTTTCTTTTTTCTTTCTTTCTTTTTTTTTTTTACGACTATGGAAGTCGATATTCAACTGTCTGGTTACCAACATTCTTTCAAATATCTTCTGTGTTCAGCCTAATTTATAACTGATTAGAGCGCTCTTATAAGCAGCCATTTTTATTAACACATGTAGAACGTTCGTGACTCTCCTGTTCAAACTTGTTTATCGAAATGAACTTTTGGTGTCATTTGGTTCATTGAACGAACGAAATGAACAAATTGACTCGGAAAAAGATTTGTTCATTTTGATTAATGATTGATTGATGAACTTAAACTTTGTTTTTTTTTTTGGTTTTTAAATGACGGTCGTTTCGCTTAAGACCCTTATTCATCGTCTGGAATCGTTTAAAGCCCTTTGAACAGTTTGCAGTTTGCACTGAAACTGTCATTTGGACCTTGAACCGTTTGGTTCCCATTGAAGTCCATTATGTGGAGAAAAATCCTGGAATGTTTTCATCAAAAACCTTAATTTCTTTTCGACTGAAGAAAGAAAGACATGGATATCGTGGATGACATGGGGGTGAGTAAATTATCAGCAAAAGTTTTTTTTTTTTTTAAAGTGAACTGCTCCTTCAAATGTGACAATTTTTGACAATTCAAAACTGACAAGTGACTGTTAAAAATATTTTTCACTGAATCATTTAAGAGATTCATTCAATAATACTGATTCATCTGGTAAATTAAACAAGTGTCTCTGAGTGAGTCATTTAATCATTTTTTTTTTTAAATAATGAATTCAAATAAATTACATTTTTAAATAGACTGCAGCATTTAACATTTTGTCAGAAATCTTTGTTTATTCATGATCTCTATTTTAAAACCAAACAATTGTGATTCTTATTTTACCCAGAATTGTGCAGGTCAAGGTTAACACAAGCTTGATGTATTTTCACATTTTATTATAAAATACACTGTAGATACCCCAGTAATACACCCCTTGTGTTTAAAACAAGTGTCATGAAACAAGTGGCTATATGACATTTTGTCATCAGGAGGGTCGGTAGATCGTCCGCACGCATCACAATTTGTGTGACCACCCAAAAGTGCAAGTATAACAGTGCATACTCCATTGCATATACTTTGAAAGCTTTGCTGACATTACTGTGCATGAGATGGAGTGCAACACAGACAATTAAGTATACCCAGGTCTTTAAAATACTGTCTACAGAAGAAGCTGGTAGAGTTTTGGAACAGAGCTATAAAGCTACCTGTCTCGTTTAGAGTGAAATACTTTGGTGGAAAAAAAAAAAAAAACGGCAGAGGAACATCCTGTCAATCGTTAAGTCTAAAAAAGCCATAGCCTTAGGCAGGAACATGCTGTGTGATAGGTCAGTGCTTTCCCCTGTATGGGAATGCCTTGATTCCCACTGGTCTGTGGTTCATTGGCAGCTCCACATCAAACCCAGTGCAGATCAGCAGGAGGTTGAGGAGGACCAGAATTCATAGTGAGAAGATAAGAAGCAACTTGTGTTCTTCAGAGCCAGTCAGACTTCACTTAGAAAGGTGACTATAATGTAAGCCTCAGTTGTCTGACATAATGATATGAAAGACCCTTTCAAAAGGTCCCAATCAGATGTTAAAAGTGTAATTATCATTATCATAATCATCATCATATCTGTGCCATCTCTACTTACCTGTTCATAACCATTGCGCTGGAATTCCTCAAAGCCAAAGATGTCCAATATGCTTATTTCAAGGGCAGGATCTCTGTCAAAACAAACAGGAACATATTTCAGGACTGTAGAGGGGAGGGTGATCTGAAGTCAACTATTTGTTTGGGGTTAAAAGAACCATAGCTTAAGTGCAAGGTTTATATATATATATATATATATATATATATATATATATATATATATATGTATATAAAAGATGTGAAAAAAAAAATACAATACTCAAAGGTCACTGACACGAAAAGAAGTAGGTTTTTCTAAGAAGCAAAAGGTTATGTCAAGACAATTCTGTCATCATTTTCTGTTACACCGCATCTACCCCAGAAGCACCCGGCGTCTCTGGAAGTGTAAAACATATCAGAATGTGTCCAAACACCAGCCAATCAGGACGGAGACCAGGAGTCTCACACACAAATCAGGAGTGAGAGTATGTTACTTCAGAAACAGTAACATTTTTAGAATTTAAATACTTTTTTATGTACATGTACCTGTATCACCTTGAAAAAAACTGTACATGGGTCAAAATAAAAAGCAAAAATGCATTATATTTGTGAATAAAAATGCAGTGTACTGGTGTGGTCTCCATGGTGGAAACCAGCACCCCATTAACGACCAGTAATAAACATCCTCATATGTGCGTCGATGAACATTAGCCTAATCCAATGCGCCCACTGATCTGCTGACCAGGACACAGCAGGTCAAGCCTGCTTCACCCAGTTATTGATCACACTTCAGAACGGGACCTTCATTTACAATGCTAAACCTTTCCCCTTTTGGAAATAGATTACAATAGATTTTCGAATGTGTGAATGAGTGATTATTCCTTTAGCTCATTCCATATAGTCATTCATATACAAAAAACATATAAACACTACCGTTCAAAAGTTTGCGGTTGGTAAGGTTTAAGTCATGTTTTTGAAAGATCCCTCTCATGCGCAACTTTTTTTTGTTGGATTAAACAGCAATATTGTGAAATAATACTGCACATAATAATAACATAATAATAATAATAACATAATAAAATAACTTTTCTATTTGAATACATTTTAAAATGTCATTTATTTATGTGACGGCAAAGCAGGTTTTTTTCAGCATCATTACTCCAGTCTTCAGGGTCACATAAACCTTCAGAAATCATTTTAATATGTTTATTTGTGGCACAAGACACATTTTTATTATTATAAATGAGTGTGTTTACATGCAATTATAATGGGATTTTGGAAATATTGTGATTAAACTATGCATGACTTTGATAATCTAATGCGATTAAAGTCCCCGTGAAATCAAAATTGAACCTATTTACTTTGTTAGCGCATATTACTAGTCTTGTGGTGAACAATTAATCCGTGCAAGTGAATATATATTAAAAAAATGTTTTACCTTAGTAATCTTTAATCAAAATCTGAAAAGTTACTTCCGGTCTGGAACGGTTTCTTTTTCTGAAGACGTAGGTTTCACAGTTTGGGTGGGGAAACGCTTAACCACTCCCCTCAAACTGTTAGTTTGCTATGAGCGAGAGATGGAGAGGAGGAGCGCTAGAGTAAAACCCTGCTCTCTGTTCAATATTCCGTTTCACTTGGAAATACGTCACAGCACTGGAGAAAAATCGTTTGCAACTTCCGGTTCACGGGGACTTTAAGCTCATAATCATAGTAGCCATATTTGTATTATACTATAATGTTGAAAACAGTTGTGCAGCTAGGCTAATCATTTTTGTGGAAACAGTGATTCTTGTTTATGAGTCTTTGATGAATATAAAGTTCACTATAAATGTATTTACTGAAACTTTCTATCAATTGAATGTCTTTTTCTGAATAAAACTGAATAAAGTGCCTAATTCATGTTAAAATTGGTGTTGGCGAGTATATGAAACAGTGCGAGTCGCCAGTTGACCGGAAACAATTTTATTAGGGCTGTCAGATGATTAATCGCATCTAAAATAAAAGTTTGTGTTCACATAATATATGTGGGTGCACTGTGTATAATTATAATATATATATACTTACTAATAGACTACTAGTCATACTAGAACATGGTAAATCATGAAAAATCACATTGAAATATGGTATATCATGGTAAATCATGCTTGCTAGATAAAACTTAATGTCTTTTGATGCTTTTGTGCTTAAAGGCCTTAAAGGCCTAAACTGCTTGAACCCCGATAAATGCTGCTTGCAGCTTTAATTTATAAAGTGTTATTGCAGTGTTTAAGGCAGACTATGCAGTGTTTCTTCACATTTGCTTGCTTTATTAAATTTCTGTTCCTGGAAAATACTGTCAGACCTACCTAATAAGCATAGTCTCTTTGTTATATTGTATCATTAGTGCTTTCGCTTTTAATTTGAGTATTTGTTCTTATTTTATTACTCACTGTTTACTTGTCTTTTTAAATGTATATTAGTCAGGCTAGTCGATTTAGTTGTGGTAAACATTTTCACTGGTATCTAAAATGTTTGTGTCATAACTGCCCAAAAACAGTTATGTCTGGTACATTTTCATGTCACTTGGCCATTGGCAGGTGTGTATAAATGTCAAACATAGATGCAAGGCAGGTACAAAATATTAGCAGGTCTTTACAGTAAATGATTAGAAGCTGCCAGTTTCTATTTGTTTCTGCATATTTGTATGTCTTCAAAGATGAAAATATGCTCGGTGAGTTTTTTTTAGAGGACATGTGAAATTATGTGGAATGATGAGTCATTGTGACTTTGTCTATGTGTGAATAAAAACATACTTGGAGTTCCATGGAAATTTCAGTTTTAGTCGTGAGATACCTTTCTCATAATGCACTGGGTGTGCGCTCCTGCTCGAATGCTACTGGCCGTGCCGCTTATCGTTAGGTGCTCTCGCATTTGCTATGTAAACTATTCAAAAACTTCTCCGTGGCCCCTTGTTTTGACTGATGTTAAATCACAGAAGGTTTCTGAGAAGGATTTGGTGTGAGTTTCTACTAGTCACAGCTAAGTGCGTTCTGCGAGCAGTAGAGGCGAATAATCCGTACAGATCAATAGCTGGTAAGCGTCCCTGAAATTATATGTACACTGAAATGGGACTGTGAACTTTAGAACAATGACGGATCAATGTTAGTATCACAAGCACAAAACAGCACATCCACATAAAAACATGCATCCATCCTCACATGCAACGCATCTTACCCAGTGTTTTCTTCATGGCCTTGGAGGTAAAAGTTAATGTTATTGACCAAGAAGCTGAAGAGTCGTCCGTACAGAGCTTTGGCCAGGAAGTCTCTGTGATGGTTGGACATTTCAACTGTGTGGCGCCTTGTTATGACATCACCTGAAGCAGAGGGCAAATGCCAAGCGATTAGTGAATTTTTACATTTTCTCTCTGTCCATTTATCCATTCATCCATAAGTATGTCTGTCTGTCTGTCTGTCTGTCTGTCTGTCTACCTATCTATCCATCAACCTATCTATCTATCTATCTATCTATCTATCTATCTATCTATCTATCTATCTATCTATCTATCTATCTATCTATCTATCTATCTATCTATCTATCTATCCGTCTATTTATCCATCAACCTACCTATCTATCCATGAACCTACCTATCAACTATCTATCCATCAACCTATCAATCAATCCATCAATCAACCTATCAATCAACCTATATATCAACCTATCAACCTATCAATCCATCCATCCATCCATCCAAATGCATCCATAAAAATCCATCCAAATCCATCCATCCATCCTAATCTGTCTGTCTGTCCGTCGATCCGTCCATCATTGCACCATTCCATCTATCGATCCATCCATCCATCTATCTCTACTGTACCTACCCTGTCTATCCATCTATTTATCATTCTGCCTGTCTCTGCCTATTTATACAACAATTAATTACCTTGTTTCTCTATCTATTTATCAATTCTCTTTCCTGACTGACCATCCAAATATCCATCCAATTATCCATCCACCAGTTCTGTCTGTCTGCCCATTCAATTAATCATTATGTCGGTTTATCTATTTATCGGTTTATAAAGTGTTCTATTGTTCAATCTGTCCATCCATCCTTCAATCTTTACCTATCTGTTTATCCATCTTTTTATTATACTGCCTGGCTCTGTCTATCTAGCCAACAATGTATTGTCTGCATATTTATCTCTGTGTCTGCCTGTCAATCTGTCCCATCCATTCATCCATCCATCCATCCATCCGGTTGAGTTTTGCTACCCCACCACCTAGACCATCACCAAACACCAAGCATTAACAGCATCTAAATTCAAGCTGGTCCTTTAAACAGTGCTGGAAGCACATAAAAAGTAGAGATTGCAGTAAACAAAAACAATCCAAACAGCGAGTGACTGCTCAAAACAACAGGGGGACAGAGCAAAGAGGAAAACAAACAGGAGACAGTGTGTCACAATTTGACTGATATACAACGCATGTGGGTGGCTGAAAAACAAGCGGCCCATTGTTGCTTGTGCTGGCAGAGGGGACACGGCACATGCTAATGTGGAGGACACACAGCGCCTGGGCTCTGATGATGTGACCTTTGATGATGTCAGACACTGAATCACTGCATTCGCTATGCAATTCATGGCCGCCACAGTGCGTCAACTTCCAGATGCACACATTTCCAATGTCTGAACATCAACCAGTTGCCTCTGATTGCTGCATATATTAAACTGCACAAGTGTGGCATTGTAAAGGCCTGTTCACACCGGGACGAATTTCGCGCGCGTTATTCGTCGACGTTTAACGCCTCGTGACTAAACAATGGGCGCCAATGTGAGTGTTCACACCGACGCGAAAAACGCCACGCGTAAAAGCGTCATTTTTAAAAAAACGCCTCGGGTTCGTTTTTTTGGTTTGACGCGCCGCGTCAAAACCTATCCGAGCAACGAGATTGGCGGGTTTGCTCACGTGCCTGGTACTTCTGAAGTTACAGTAATCACAACTTGGGGGCGCGCGAACACAAAACGGTCTTGCCGAGCACACATACGGCGAAGAAGAGATAAGATACCTATGGGCAAGATGAATGTTGCACTGCTGGTCTCGGAGCATAAAGAGCTGTGTGATAATATTTATATTAGTATTTCTGTAATAATAGTATAGTAAAGGGTGACCAACAGTCCTGTTTTCTCGGGACATGTGTAAAACGGTCACTTTGTGCTTTATAGAAATCTGAGTTGAGATGAGAACTGCGCATGTGCGTGTGTCAGTTAGATTTTTGACAAGTGAGGAGAGGAGAACCGCTCTGCCGACTCTTTATTCTTCCTTTTATTTTATTTTTCATATTGTGACCAGATTTGTTTGTGTGTTTTTTTTCTCGCTCGATCCCCGTGTATGAGTGTAACGTTTGAGTGGTTTTATTAAACGTGGGGAAATACGACAGCTCTCGTCTCTCGTGCATCTGTTCATCCGACAACTGGTATGTTTTTATCTCTGGGCAACATCTTCACTTTGCGTTACACATGTCCTGTTTCCACGTCCTGTCCTGACTGTTTTTAAGTGATGAAAATGTCCTGGTTTTAAAAAAAAACTGCTGGGAAAGATCAGCTCTACAGCAAAATATAGATGGGCAGAAAAGGTGGACGAGGAAGAAAAACAAGATAAAGAGGATGAAAACAAAAGATATAAATAGATTTTGTTAGTTCGTTTTTGTAAGTTTGTGAGAGCTATTTTTTGTTACATTTGGAGGCATTTCTTTTAGTTATTTATTATTTATATATTTATTTTTCTAATACAGAAGACATTATTTCTATCATTATTTCATTCGTTTTTTTCTATCTGTCATAATAAAACATTACATTGAGACATGAATATGATCACCCTAGTATAGTATTCTATTATTATTATTTCTGTTTTACATTAAGCGCCATCTAATGTCAGGGAATGAATTTGCATGTTCACTCAGCTCATCGTCAGCGAAAAACGCTTGGGTGTGAACACAAAAAACGCGTTGAAAAACGCTGACGAATAACGCGCGCTGATATTCGCCCCGGTGTGTACAGGCCTTAAGGATGACATTTCTCTCTAACTTGTTTAAGAAATACAATAACCAAAACAACAAGATTAGTTCACCCATAAAAGAACATCGTCAACGTTTATTTCAGTATGCTCATGACCTTAAATTTAGGTGGAACAGATTCTGAGTCTTAGTACTAACTTATGATAAACATTTTGTAAGTTTTGTATTCTAATTGCTGGACACAAGTAGATACACTTTTGGCAGAGGTCTAACCTCCTTGCATTGGCCGGGCTAAGGGTGACGATCTAATGATGATTGTTAGGTTTTAAGTACACACAACATAGTATTACATGTTTAAAGTATGACCCTAATTTAATAAATATTGCTTCCGGATGTTTTAGAATACTAAATAGTCGTGCTATCGTTCAAAAAACTTGGCAACTCTAGCCATTTCTTCGCCATTTTCACTTTTGTTGTCACATGTTTTCCAATAGAGCTCCCCCTAAAGCTTTGGGGTGTATATTTCACAACACAGTCATAAAAAAAAACTAAAAAAAACTCACTTGTGTCACTCCCCCTTACTTATGTGCACTTGTTATTACTGGAGCCAGCCAATTTTATCGTGTGGAGCTACGTCTACCGAGGTGGGTAATACTTCATACACAGTATCATAGAATTATGTCAAATTGCCATAAAGCAGTTCAGATTGACGTTCTCGCTTCTCATGAGACTTCCCATTTCCAACTTACCAACTTATTTTGAAAGATTGGTTTTCCACCAGGGAACACTGAGGGGAGCGGGCAAAGTCACCATTCTCTCCAGAACTGGTTCTTTAACCATCCAAATAATTTCTAAAAGGTTTTACTAAGTTGATATAGTATGCAAAATAATGCATACATTGCAACTTCTGTCCTAAACTCTAGAGCTAGGACTAGGATTTTCAGAGAATAAAAGCAACATTTCGATCTTAATTTAAATTTGTGGTGAACTATCCCTTTAAAAGAGAGGCATGGATAAATGAAGAAAGCGAAGAAGGCAGAGAGAGGCAAAACTCGGACAGACACAAGACAATGCCAAGTCTGCTTGTAATTATAGGCAATAGGTCGGTGTGTCCTCGATGGCTGAATTAGGTTAATATCCAGACATCATGTGATTCATACATACTTCACACTTGTTATATAATGACGCAACACGCGCACAGTCTAGACCTCATAACAGAACTGTGTGTTTATGTGTGTATATTTTGAACAAGGAGACAGTTATCCAACTGAGTCAAATTGAGCCCAATTGGGCACGCCAGTAACACAATCCAAGGCTAAATGCTTGAGGCCACATTCATTGATGGGTTTGTGACTGGGGAAAGGCCAGTATATCTCAATGAACAGCGTCAGCAGGACTTCCTGCAATGAGACTCACTCTATCCATTGTGCTATGCTAAACATGCTCACTTTAAATAAGTGTTTAGTCCATCGGTTGATTGATGCTGGTACATGGAAACTGAAACTAGTACCTTTGACACACTGGACATCAGACGTGAGGGCAGAGCCTAGATCCTCAGAGCTCACCTGCAACATCCCAGCCACTACAGAAAACAAAAGAAAAAATACAAAAGATACATTTGTAAGATTACAAAGGTTTACAAAGCTAGATCCTGGTTAGATGAGTCTCATTTAAAAATCGTTATATACAAAATAAAATACAAATCTTACAATATTAGTAAATGAGACTTGATTTTTTTTTTTAAAGGGACAAAAAAAAAAAACAGTCCAGTTGCACCCAAATGCCTGGTATGTTCCTTTTGAAGTGTAAAATACACAAATACACATTTGCAATCTGAATAATGTACTGAATCTACCGGAAACGTGCTACTGATTTGTGCCCTGCTAAGCTTCTAATTTATGACAGGTACTGCCTTCACCTCACACCTCTTGCCTCTTATTTTAATTCAAATATACTAATATATATATATATATATATATATATATATATATATATATATATTATATTATAGTATTATTATATAATATTATTATATTATATATATATATATATATATATATATATATATTAGTATATTTGAATTAAAATAAGAGGCATAATATATATATATTAGTATATATATATATATATATATATATATATATATTAGTAGTATATTTATATATATAAGTATATTTATATATATAAATATATATATATTTTTTTTTTATATTCTTATATACAATTTAAAAAAACATTTTCAGTTATTTTAAATTGTAACACAATTTCACAAAAAAATGTTTTTACTGTAGTTTTGATCACATAAATGCAGCTTTGAAAAAGTAAAACTGACTCTCAAAAACATAAAAAAAAAAAATCTTGGCAACATCAAACTTTTGAGTGGTACTGTATATTAATTCTTAGAGATAATTACAACCACAAATACTTGTACAATTCATTAACTGTACATGATAGTACTTGCATGATGCACACTCAACATTTAACAACTTTGAATGTGGCTTTCAGATTTAAGAGTCAACATGCTATAAAACAAACACAGTCTTGTTTTCTTTTACGAATCCACTCCTCCTATTATGTACTTATAAATTACAGTACAGAAGCTGCCAAATACAAACGGCAATGAGCATGAGTGTGTTTGTGTGGAGTGTATAATATATGCCCATTTTGAACAGTGATCTTTTATATCCACAGTGACGGAAACCTCATAGAGATGTACATGTATCAGCTTTTATATTTGAGCACGTTGACGTCACTTGTTTACCCAGCCTCAGTATTATGCGAGTCGTTATGTAACACGAAGGAGACCGAGTGGCCGTTCTGTTCCGCTGTGCTGCTCTGCAGGGCTTAAGGAAACAGGTGACCCTGTGTGTGTGTCTGGAAAGGGGCGATTAGCTCAAAATTGTAGGACAGAGTGTGTATGTGCTGGAGGGTGCCGTGTATTATTAGAGTGGCAGAGAGAGTTTTCCATTGTGTGGTGATTGATTCCACTATTAGGCCATGGTAAGATTTGATGTAAACAACTCAGGATGGTGTGACACAGTTCTTTCTGCGTAGTCACCCGCCCACTTCCCCTGTCTATCCTCCAGGGCTCCCGTTGGAGGAGATCGGCCCCTGCTGGCCTCATGGCGCAGCTGCACCACTGACCTCTGTCTAGCAGCTGCAAGTCGGACACAAACGCAGTGTCAGCGTCTGTCAGGGCGGTGAAGCGCACATCTCCCAAATGCAGCAGTGCAGAGAGGACCACAAACAAATTCTCCACCTCCTGAAAGCGAAACAGACAAAGTCAGCCAGGACTGAGAACAGAAGCTATTAAATGGATGAACTCATACTTATCAAATAGGAGGCAAAGTGTCTGTGTTGTTAATAGTCAATAAACATATCTAAACTGTAATATTGGAGTCCCCCAAGGATCAATTTTGGGCCCTGTTCATATATTAATGACCTGCCTTTAGTCTGTAGAACACACACACACACACACACACACACACACATATATATATATATATATATATATAGTCACATATCGTGTATATATATACAGTATATATATATATATATATATATATATATATATATATATATATATATATATATATATATATACACGATATGTGATTTTTTAATGACTGTGATCACTGTTTTTTATATTTTTTATAAATTGAGCTTATTGAGCTTTTATTTTTATATTTTTTAAATGTTTATTATATTTGTTTTCACTTAATTTTAGTGTTAGTAATTTTCTTATATGCTTTTGTCATTTTTATATTTTATTTCAGTTATTCAGTTATTTCTAATTTTCATTTAAGCTGACTTTTTTCATCTAATTTATATTTTATTTCATTTTATTTATTCATTATATTTTGATTAACAAACATGATTTTTAATAGTTTAGGTTAACAATGACAACAATTTAATGACTTCATTAAAACTTAAACTGCTAAAAATACAAATCAAGAGGCAAACTGAAATCATATCTATTTTTCCATCACGAACTCATTCGGGAACATACAGAACAATAATCTTTTTTAACAAGAATATTATATAATAATAAAAAAAATCATGTTTAATTAATTTCAAGTATTAAGAGTCTATTAATAAAGTTAGTAAACATCTATAATAATAAGAATTATAAAGTTTGAAATCAAGCAGTGTTTTCATATTTAAAGAAGAAATACCAGAGGAAACATCTTGGCCATTATGGAGCATTGTGTTGGAATTGGGAAAAAAAAGCTTGAGAACCACAGGTGTTTGTGTAAAAGAAAAAGATGAGGAAGTTGTATAAACAGTGATTGTGGATGTAGATAGACAGGCCAGTCTGAGAGACTGTGTGAGTGTATTAGTGTGTGTGAGGGTCATCGAGGGTCGTGCTGCACTGATGGAATGAGAGAACAATCCTTCTTTAATGAAGCTGATTTACAGGTTCCTGGTAGGATTAGAACACAGAGTCTGGCTGGAAGTCAGGTGTGTGTGTGTGTGTGAGAGAGTTAATGTGTGTGTGTTTGGACCAACCACAAACTGAACGCATGACTCAAAACACTGCGAAACTCGGATTTTACACCCAACTAAACTGTAACAAAACGTTCAGGTATCATCATGAGGGTGTGCTTGTGTGTAGACACACGCAAATATGGTATATAAATGTAGTATGTCACAGGCTAGAGTCCTGAACATACCGTTCTAGCTGTGAACTATAACATAACACACAGGTTGGCAGGTTAGTGTGGCCTCAGGCTGAATGCTATGTGTTTATAGTCTACCGACATAGTGTAATGAGTTATAATGTTAAAACCTACATAAATCAAAACAACATGTCTGAAGTGGCTGGCAAAGTCAAAGTCATTCCAACTCTCTCCATCTCTGTATATGTGACTCACCTAAAACCAGAAGCACTTTGTCTACTTTAGACGAGACAGCTCAGCTTCTGCTGAGGCTATAAAGTAATGTCTGGATGTAGGCAGAGCAATCCAAAAGCTATTTGCGTATGGGCATATAGTGAATCTTTGCAGATTTAACCCACTTTCTATTGTTAAAAAGTCAGTAGTGCATGCAGATAAACAATATTTATTCGATGTTATCTGGAACGAGAAATTCACGTTTATTTGTCAGCATTCTTACTATACCTGACTGCTGCTTCCCATTGCCCAACAGAACGGCAGTTTCTTTCAGTTTTTTTTGTCCTAACCATTTGCCCTAAAACAATTGATGTATCTGAATATGCCTACTTCCATTCAATATAGTAGGCGAAAAACAGTATGTGAGCAGAGTAGTATGTCTACATTCATAGTATTCACAAAACAGTAGGCGAAAAGTACCCGGATTACCTACGATTTCAGGGGAGATTCTGAAGTGCGCATTCATTGGACACTTTACTATCCCATGAAGACATTTGTGAAGTAGAAGTGAAGCAGTTGTGAAGTAGGTCACATGACAATGACAAAATGACGGATGTAGCACGTCTGAACACACTTTTTTAGTGTTCGCAATGTAAGTTTCAAACCAAATGTAGTACTTATCTACTATATAGAATGGGATTTTGATGTAACAACTGAAGATTTTCCATCATAGCGTTCTCTTTGTATTTAAGATTATTTGCAGTCTTTACAATGTCCTTCAATGGAAACCGAAAGTAACTCAGTCCCACATTTACTCTTTTAATTGATCAACACAAGTCGACACTATTGCAACTAAAAGTTTGCTAAAAATTATTTCCTAGTAAAAGCAAGGCTCTCTAGTCCAGCGTACCCATAGCAGACTGGGAGTGGACTTGTATAGCAATACGCTCAATGCATTATGGGGTGTTTTTTTGTTTGTTTGTTTTTGCAAAAGGGAAGACAACAGCCTTTTTTATTTGAAGAGTTCAGATGCAAAAGCCTCTAAATGCCATTTGAAATTTTCTTCTTTAATGATGATTTTTATCAAACTTGTATATTTAAGTTCAGTAATTTCACTTAAATGGCAATGATAATTACCTATTAATTGTTATTTAAGTGAAATTACTGAACTTAAATATACAAGTTTGATAAAAATCATCATTAAAGAAGAAAATTTCAAATGGCATTTAGAGGCTTTTGCATCTGAACTCTTCATTTGTTTTTTGAAGTCAGGTAGCAACCAAATGTATTCATTTTCAGTACCATTTTAAGATTGGATGTCATATTGTCATAATTTTTGATCAAAATGTCGTGATTAATTTTAGCACTTGCAAAGCATTTAAATATAAATAAAAGTTTAATTAATTTGTTATTTACTTATTTATTGTTATTTCCAGGTTTAAATTAGACTTTAAATCCCAAAAAATTGTATGTTCGCTCAGATTTTTGGACTTGTGTTTTTCTCTCTCTTGCACACACTTGAAAACAGAACTAAATATAAATGTATTGTGCATGTGTAGTAATTATGCATCTTTGGATAATGGATACATGTGTTCTTGAAGATGCGTGTACCAGTCTGTTGAAGCCGAGCGCACGCAGAGCCTGTTTAAGGGCCGAGAGCTTCTCTCTGCTCTCAGGACATGCAGTAGCTACTGTAGGAGTTTCACCGGGAGCCGCTGTGCTGAGACATCTGAAAAAAAAAGAAGAAAGAAAAGATTTGTGATGATTTAGTCCTTAAGTTGGCAGTGCCATCTTGACAAGAGCAATTGGTGTGGGAGTTTAAGAGGGCTAAAGTAAGTTTGAGATGTTCAAACTGTCAACGACATACTCACAAATTCGAGTCAAAGTAAGGTTAACGTTCAATTTTTTATGATAGCATTCCATTTTACCCCATGCGTGATTTCCTGAGGACGCTTGGAGTCACAGAGAGTTGAGGGTAAACTCATTTAAAAATGGATTCACACAGTACAGACACACACAAAAAACCCTTTAACATATACAAATTTCAATTGTATAGTAAACTTTCATCAAATTGCATTGAATAATCCGGATTCATAAATTTAAACATAATTTCTTTTTCTGTTTTTACCTATGAATACGAACAATAGATTTAAAATGGTCCATTTCCTTGTTCCATTAGAACTTAACACTTTGTATAAATCTTATTTTTTAAGCAATTAATTTGTTCCCTTGTTTTAGTTCAATCTAAACAAGGGAACAAATAAGTTCAAAATCGCCAAGATTGACTAAAATGAGGGAACAAATTAATAAATTGAGGACAAACTGTTTTATTTGTGGCCACGATTTAACAAAAACAGATGAACAAATTATCACAACATTGCCACAACTTGGTAAATCGAGGAAAAAAATACATTATCGTGCACAAAATTCTCTAAAAACAAAACAATTAGCTAATCGTGGGAATGCTTTGTTAATTTGTGGCAATGATTTCCTAAAAATGAGAGAACAGATTCTTATATATATATATATATATATATATACATATATATATATATATACATATATATATATATATATATATGAAGAGTTCAGATGCAAAAGCCTCTAAGTGCCATTTGAAATTTTCTTCTAAAATGATAATTTTTATCAAGCTTGTATATTTAAGTTCAGTAATTTCACTTGAATGGCAATGAACCTATTAATTGTCATTTAAGTGAAATTACTGAACTTAAATATACAAGCTTGATAAAAATGGTCATTTTAGAAGAAAATTTCAAATAGCATTTAGAGGCTTTTGCATCTGAACTCTTCATATATATATATATATATATATATATATATATATATATATATATTAATATTTTTTTTAAGTATTTCTCATAAAAACAGCATGAAATAACATGCATATCTACATTGCATGTGTTACCTGTGGGATAAGACGTTGTTTAGATATAGATTACTCTTCTCCTCTGCTGAAAGCCCCTCAGCCATCAGGTAGAAGATGTTGAAGTTCTGCTGATGCGGTGGCATGCAGATAACCCTCGACTTCTCCAGCATGTAAGTGTACAGACGGCCTGAACAGTGAGAGAAGAGTAGAAAGATCATCTTTGGAAATATTAGTAGAGCAATTGCACCCTCTATAGGTGAAGGATGCCAGATCAGAAGTCCTCTACTGTATTAGTCCTGTATTCAAGCAGCACTATGAACAAACAGAAACATTTAAAGTGAAAACAGGAGCAGTCAGAACTACCTCGGAGCAGAGTTTTCCTCTTCTCGCAGTACTGCAGTGAGATCAGCTTGATGAAACGGCTCGCTGAGGAGTTCATCTGAGTCTTAGCATGGCCAAAAGCTTCTAAGATCACATTCACCTGCAAACAATAAGAGAGAGGAAAAAAAAAAAAAAGAGTTAGTAAAGTCAGTGGCATAGTGGACAGGCGGGTGGCGTCCGCGATACAGCCTAAAATTATTATGATCAAATAATTTTAGCATTATTGATGAATCGTCTGTGGTTATTCTATAGAATCTAATTATTTTAGATAATTACTTTTAATTATTATTATTATTTTTGTTGCCATCCAAATAAGGGCAATTTAAGCACATAAAGAAATGCCATAAAAGCACAATATTGTGTCTCCTTTTTGGGAAAAAGATTATATAACATATAGTACAAAAAAAATACTATTATAAAGTACAAAAAGATATTTAAACAAAATTAAGGTTTGTGGGATTTATCAGACTGCATTACATAATATAAATAATCATAGTAAATATCATTTATTGTGTTTTATTATTATTATTATGTTTGATTCCAATAATGATATATTTATAAAAGGCCTACACTGAACAAAATTGAATTTATTTAAATTATTTAAATGACAATTCATCTTCACGCGATTCCACGATCTGAGGCCTGAGATTCCAACAAGGACTTTGTCTCAAACCATTATTTACAGAAAGATGATGAAGCACAACAAATAAATAAATAAATACATATATAATGCGCAATCCATTCACAATTTAAAATTCCTGTCTATTAATTAAAAAAAAAAAAAATACAGTCATCCAGATCTTGGCTGAGTCAACATTTTTAGGTACTCTATTTGGTGCCAAATTAGAAATAATAATTGCTTTGCTGTGCATTTAATCATATGAAAGTCAAATATGTTAGTTAATTAATTGTGTGTGTGTGTGTGTGTGTACTGGGCAGTTTTTAATTATATGTATTTGAAATGCATAAAATACTAATAGGACTACCAAATTTCCTATCAGTTTTTGGATAGCAAGACAATTCCGTGACACATCGTATTGACCCTGTTAACATTTCCCGGGTTCCTCACAAGTGGAAGTCGTCATTATTGGGTAAACTTCTACAGCAGTGAATGAGTTTTTGTGTTCCCATTTGTCTCAAATAGCAAAAAAAACAACATCACAACGGCATTTTCACAACTTTCAAAAAGAATAAAATTGAGAGAGATTGATAATGGCAGTCAGACGAGAGAAAGATCAAAGATGTCAAAAGATGTCATTTTAATTAAATTCCTTTTTCAAAGCAGTATTTTGTATTTTATTTAAATACATTTGATTTCGTATTTGTATTTTTTTATCAAATACTTCCTGATGTATTTGTGCCCATCTCTCTGTGAGTGTGCGTATGCGCATTTTATCTGCTCTTCCCTTGCTAACATCTCATTCATGTGATGAAATTCTTTGATGAAAAACCCTAAGGCCTTGATCACTTGGAATCTGCAATGGAGCCGATTTATTATTTATCTTTTTTTTTCCCCCTTGTACTGTATGCTTAAAGAAATTTTATAAATATTATGTGGTTAGATGTAAAAATAACTCCAATATCATAGACTAGGGTTCTGTGATGACCCGTCTTTGTTTACTTTGCCACCAGTTGATTTGTGTTCAAAGAAAATTGTGTGTGTGTATGCTGACAAAGCCACTATGCTCATGAAGACACACAATGTGGGCATTTGACACTTGCTTCCACCAGGTGGCAGTAAGTCACCATTGATTAGATGTACTCATTAGGAGAAAAAAATAGTGTTGAGATCACACACACACACACACACACACACAGATGCATTCAAGTGTAATAATGTCACCCATTGCTCCGGGCCATTAAACCACTCTAATGGTTTCTGTATGTGGATATGATGTCTTGAGCTAACAAGAAATGGCTCTTTCCTTGAGATTCAACCAGAAGCACAAACTGCCAGCCTCAGGCTTTTGAATAGTCATTCAAAGCATCTAATTCTCCCATGAACAAGAGAATAACAGCTGTTTGAGGCTATCATGACTGAAGGATAACCGGAGTAACTGAAAGCACATCAACACCTCCAGGCTCAAGATAAACACGTGAGGAAAACCACAGCGAAAATACTGAGCGTTACCACAATGAACATACAACATAATTATTACATAAAACAGCGTAGCAGCAACGCAACAACTGTAGATGTGTGGTAAAAAAATAATTTAAAAAATTGGATAACGATAACTTTAGTCAAGACATTACCTAAAAATAACTAACAATGAGGATTTAATTTGTTACACTGTTTATTAATCTGTGAACATTAGCTAATAACACCTTAACTGTACATTGTTAGTGGTTACAAGAGGTAAAAATGATATAAATACAGTTTGTTTTCTCTCACAAACCACTCGTTTCGTGTCTTAGGCCATCAATGTGTACTTACGTTTACGAGTCATTAAATCATGTTTAATTTGGACTTCTCTACTAAGGTGGACCCCATAAACCTCCATTATATGACTGACAGACAAGAACGGTTTGACCTAAAAATATCTAAATTGAAAATACTGTGGAAACAAAGACACCTAAATATTGGATGCCCTTGAGGTAAGCTACATATCAAAACATATAAAAAAAAAATAATTTCAAAGTGAACTATCCCTTGTAAAGTGTTTCTGAGAAAAAATAAATACATACAAAAAATGATTATTTTGTAGATCAAATAAATCTTTGTTATTTTTTTTTAAAGATACTGAACTATTTAAAAATGAAAAACAAAGAATACTAATTTCTGTATTGCATTGGGGACCAAATGATTACAAAAGGCTGAATCATTTGAACAAGTATTGCATGTCAAATGCATGTATGTTGTGTTCATTAACAGACAGATACTCACAGAATTCGACGGACACACTTACATGCTTCATCCGTGGCTCTAAAGCGAAGCCTTTGGGACTTGAGCGAACAGCCAAGTGTTTCAGGATGTGCTTACAGGCCACAGACTTCCCAGAACCACTCTCTCCACTAGTCAGAAAGAAAAACAAAGTGAAAAAGGTGAGAATCTTGGTTCAAAATAAATATAGATATAAATAAAGATAGCACAACATATACCAAAACTATGATACTATTTTGATATGTTACACTGTTGTGGCTGATCTCTGGGGACATGGAAGAAGTTGTGGGTGAGTTTTGGTCTGCTTCCGGTATGGATCCGGTTTATTGGGCCAATCTTGGGCCATAATTCCATGTGGTTTGTGGGCCAAAGTCGCAGCCAAAATTCAAACAGATTCGGCCCAATATCAATTTGCTATCTGGGTTTAACATATTTGGACAGATTTTTTTTTTTTATAAATCAAATATATATATTTTTTTATAAATCAAATATAAATGTTTGCATGTTTGATTAAGAAAAACATTTTGGGAAATATATGTTGGAAATCTACGGAATATTATACAGTATGTTGGAAATATATGGATGTATACATTGGAGGAATCTGTTATAAATCTGTAAAATAAAGAGGAACTTTTAGGGAGTTTTACAGAGTTAGTTAAACTCAGTAAAGCTGCCAAAAAGTTCCTCTGTCAGTGTAAAGACAAGACAAAAAAAAAAAAAAAAAAAAACAAGAGAACAGTTGACTTTTTAAAGACCTCTGGGCCGGCGGTCTCCTCCTAATGTATGCTCCTGTCAGCCTCTTTTCACTTTACCATTGGGAGATCTCATATTTGGTAAGGGAGCTGTTCCGCATCGTATGAGATGATTCAGTCTGCCTACAGCAATATACTGTACCATCAAAAGCCTCACGACTCAAGACTTAAAGATCCCTGCGCTCTGCCTGGCCTGCGGGCATTTTCCCCAAGCAGGATTCTGACCAGAGGATATCCATCATAGCTTCACTTATCCAAATGCACTACTTGGGGATTTGTTCAAATCATTGTTCTTCTGTTTTATACATTTAGTCATTTTCTCCACCATATCTATACTAAACCTATACTTAGTGCCTCTATGATTCATTCTTTCTTGATTGATTGATGTGTGATCTTTCTACAATTGTTAAAGGAACACTCCGACTTTTTGGGACTTTAGCCTATTCACCTTACCCCCCAGAGTTAGATAAGTCCATACATACCTTTTTCATCTCCGTGCGTGCTATAAGTCTGTTTGACGCACCCACCGCTAGCCTAGCTTAGCACAAAGACTGGATGTGAATGGTTGCAGCTTTCATACTAATCCAAATGAGTGACAAAATAACGCAAACGTTTTCCTATTTACATCTTGTGGTTTGTATAGTCACAGAGTGTGCAAATATCAAGGCCATATGAGACACAGACATCTTTTGACCGTATAAATACTATATTTTCTGAAGGGGAAGCACTGCTACTTGGGCAGAGTGATAACAATCACCTGAGACGCACCGTAACGAGGAGCAGAGAGTTCGCTTCGCTCAGCGTTGGAATAAAGAGTCAGCAATTACTAACGTTAGATAGAAAAGCATAGTTTATCATGGGTGTTTGCTTTATTGTATGAGCTGTGACAATAAACAGGGGAGACCAGGTAATACAGTACCATGTTTCATTGATTTCCAACCAAAAACGCACCCAGATTTATAAATATCACATGAATAAATAATTATTATTACAGGAATCAATATATTTTAAATGCAGTTTATTAGCTAAACCAAATGTATTCAACCGTATATAATATACAGTATTGCATTACTATAGGATAGAATAAGGGGAAAGTAATAGCACAAATTGTTTTTGCACAATGAACTCACAGCCTATCGTACCCTTTTGCACGCTCAAGTTCGTTATTTCCATGGTTATTTCAAATTTAGGCTACTAGGCGCGCCGCGCGCAGTGTGCAAGTTCAACGCGGTGAACGCGCTCGTTTTTTTTTTCCCAAGCGCGTCCGCACCGCATCAAGATAAAAACATATTCATACCCTAATCATATAATAGTGTCACTAACGTTACATTAGATCTGGCTAATGGCACTGTTACAGTAGGTCATCTAAAAACATAACGGAACACTTACCTCAGCCGCAGGTGATCCACTTGTCCTGTCTGTGCTAGCGATGGGATAGCCGTATCCTTCAGCACATTATGGTCCGTGTGGCAAATTCCATTTTTTCAAAATAGTCGTCCTCATTGAAATGTACCGAGCAAACATAATGTCCCTTGATGATAATCTTAGGTGTGTTTGGATAAATATCCAGAGTAAGTTAGCCATTTCTTCATCCAGTCAGCGTTTTTAGTTGGAATTCTGTGAAACATGGTATTACCTCCCCTGTTTACAGTCGCAGCTATTTACAATAGAGCGAAAACCCATGACTCTAAACTACGCTTTTACTATTTATAAATTGCTGACTCTATTACCCAAACACCGAGCGAACTCTCCGCCCCTCACCACGGCGTGTCTCCAGTGATGCGGTTATTACGCCGTCAAAGTAGCAGTGCTTCGCCTTCAGAGAATAGTTCCCAGGTTTTATACGGTTAAAAGATGTCTGTGTCTCATTTGACTTTGTTATTTGTACATTATGTGACTAGACAAATCACAACATGTAAATAGGAAAACGTTTGCGTTATTTTGACACTCATTTGGATCAGTATGAAAGCTGCAACCAGTCACATCGAGTCTTTGTGCTAAGCTAGGCTAGCGGTGGGTGCGTCAAACAGACTTATAGCACGCACGGAGATGAAAAAGGTATGTATGGACTTATCTAACTCTGGGGGGTAAGGTGAATAGGCTAAAGTCCCAAAAAGTCGGAGTGTTCCTTTAAGTCTTCAAGTAAACTTTTCACTTATTTTCTATACCCCTTCATTTTTGTGACACTGTCATAGTTGGTTTTATAAGCCCCATTCAGAAATCTAGTGAACTGCCTTGTTGCCTGCTGTCTACATAGGCAGCATCCCAATAAAGGAAGACAACAGATGCCACAACCCATTCCAACTGTTGCTAAGCTAAATACTCTATACAACATTCTAAAAATACACATTACAAACAAATGTTGGCTGGACACTTTTTTTCCCTAACCACTGTAACAAGTACATACCATCATCCAAAAGTGTTTTTTTTTTTTTTTTTTTACAGAAAATTAAAACTTTTATTCAGCACCATAAAGACTTATTTTGCAAAAGATTTATATTCCAGTTACATTTTCAGATAAATATATATAAAAATTTTGCTTTGTCATCACAGGAATAAATTACATTTTAAAATATATTAAAAGATCAAATTAATTTTAGATCAAACTAATGTTGCCTTGGTGGGTATAAGAGACTTAAGTTATAGGCCTATGTCACGAAAAAAATGAAGACCGGAAGTACGTCTTTTAGTAGGGATACGACTCTTCAGGTTAGCTTTTAACAATGGTGGAGTCCGATAGATACCGCTGGACCTAATCTTTCCGCAACCTGCCTGAAGTCACATATGACGATGTGGTTCAGATTGTAAATGAAAACTGTCAAGTGGGAAAGCGTGAAAGCTGAGGTATGGCTGTCATAGACCTGACGCAGAGCAACCAGGTACACTACAACAACAGCCGCGGGTAGCTCTAGCCGTTCGCCAGTAAGGTAAACGTTTCTATGGTAACAGCGAGTTGGACCAATCCGCTTAGGATTGTGGGTAGTGTAGCTTTTTTTCATAAGATCGCGGATAAAAAATGTTTTTCTTTAAACAAGATTGATTTCATACAAACTTATAGCTTCAACTGGAGCAAAAACCTTCGTTTCACAACCTCATAGCTCGTGGTCAGTCTACCTCGGTTGGTTTAGACATTAGGGCTGATAATCCAAATCCTTACCAAGGGGGTAATCCATCGACCGGAAGTTGGGAGCTGCCATCTTGTAGCAGAACTTCACTTGCGTTAGCATTTCCATTGACTCCCATTGATATTGGCGTCACTTTGATAGCGAATAACTTTACATCTGAGGCGTTTGAAGACCCCATTTGTCCATTATGTATTTCTAAAGAAACACGACAATGTATAAAATTCTCCATTACCTTGTAGCTTATGTTATGGTCCCGTAGAAGCAGTTTTGTGTAAAAGTAGGCTAACAATTGCGACTCTCTGTCGCACAGTAGAGAGATTACCGTATGGACAGGAGGAGAAGCTCTCGGGCAATTGGGGAAACGTGGAGGCAAAATTACAAAATAATTAATCAGAATACCTAGCAAAAGTTTCTCCTGCTCCTAGCTCATGGACAGCTCCTACTCACACTCTCCGACCCTGCAAGTTTGGGAAGGGAATGATTCAGATCACTAGAAGACAGACAGGTTGCTCACGTCACATTTACGTCGTCAAGCTCTGTTTGAGTCGATTTGAGTCTGCGAGTCAGGAACGGAAGTCCTAAAAAAAAAAAATCGCCAAAAACAGGCTTCACTTGTCTCAATGGAGTTCCAATGAGATGGCTCAGTCCACTTCTTATAATGTCTATGATCCTTACCGAGAAATACTGTTGACCGGAAGTTCTGTATCCCTACTCCGCGTTCCGGAAGCAGGAAGTGTGACATTATGCCCACCATTAAATAACAATGCCAAACTTTGAAATGTAGCGTACATTTAATACTTAAGAGTCTTTATAGTTGATATTTCTTGCAAAATAGTCTTATATTGATCTGCTGAGTGGGTCAAATTTCCATGATTTTTTTTTTCTCAATGAGAAAAAAATGCATAACCTTGTGAAACAGGCCTTTGTATCATATTTCAGAAAAGAGCTAGTGAGCTACAACAGCTTTTTCAAAACTGTTAATGATGGAGATATATAACTGTGAACAGGATATATATAAGATATACTGGATATATGCATGTATATACATATAGGATATCTTTTTTTATTAGTGTTCATGGTAACACTTTACAATAAGGTTCATTAGTTAACATGTACAATATGTGAATAACACTTCTTCAGCATTTATTAATCTAAGTTAATATTAATTCCAACATTTACTAATACGTTATTAAAATCAAAGGTTGTATTAGTTAACATTAGTTAATGGACTGTCCGATAGATACCGCTGGACCTAATCTAATACTAATACGTTATTAAAATCAAAGGTTGTATTAGTTAACATTAGTTAATGGACTGTCCGATAGATACCGCTGGACCTAATCTTTCCGCAACCTGCCTGAAGTCACATATGACGATGTAACACTTTACATTAACACTTTACCATAAACATACTTTACCATAAACACTTTACCATAAACATACACTTTACCATAAACACATAAACACTTTAAGTGTTACTGTAAAGTAACACTTTACACTTTACAGTAACTTAACATTAGTTAATGGACTGTCCGATAGATACCGCTGGACCTAATCTTTCCGAACTAACATGAATGCACAATGAACAGCTGTATTTGTATTAACTAACATTAACAAAGATTAATAAACACTGTAACTAATGCATTGCTCATCATTAGTTCATGTTAGTAAATGCATTTACTAATGCTAACTAATGAACCTTATTGTAAAGTGTTACCGTGTTCATTTATTTTTCACCAGTATGTTTACTTTAACCATAATCCACACCACGGCTCAACTACTAACAAGGGCTTTGGCAGATGTAAATCTTATCTCGTTACTGCAGTACATCCCACCTCATATTCTTAAATGTACAGTAACTTTATTAATTACACCACTCTTCAATGTTACGACCACTTAAAATGAGCCATAAAGCACAGTCAAGGAGCTCGCGGTGATAACTACCGTCTCCACATGCGGCGTAAAGAGCCTGGATCCTTGTGAGTGAATGGAAGAAAACAGTTTTGAGCAGATGGTTTTAAAAGGTCATTCTGCCTCCCACTAACCATTTTCTTGAGGGTCTGATGCTTTTTCTTCCCATTTTTTTTCCATTTCTTTTTGGGAAATCTATTCTGGGTCGTAATTGAACTCAAGGGCGCAGTGCACTCCTGAGCCGATAGCGAGTAGGTGTTTGTGCGTGTGCTCGTGAGCCGCTTGAACCAGCATTCCACCCTGGTTCTGTAGTCACTAGAGCATGGCCCTCACCTGCGGGACGAGCGTGTGTGTGTGTGTGTGTGTGTCGGTGTGATGGATAGCTCACGCAGAGAGGGCATTAAAGTAGCTGTCAGATCCTCTCTGGCTCAGCGAAACCCAGGATTGGGCCAGTGGAGAAGCATCAGAATGTGAAACAGGATTTAATTGTAATCAGAGATGACCGGAGTGCAAAGCAGGACAGAGTGTGGCCTACACCACTGCCGCTTCATCCATTAATCTCCCTGAGAGCTTTTAACAGGTTTGGATTTACACCGTCACCGGCACATTTGTCTCCGTGACAGCGTTTAGCGAGAGCCTCTCGGCGATGTTGGAGTCGCTATACCACAATGAGGGAAGGCATTTCTAACGCGACCTCATTTGGACCTCTTTGCCAGAATCGGATCACTTACTGAGCTGTGGAGAGCTATTTTAAAATACAAGCTGGTGCATAAATGACATAAGGTAGAAAATGTCCCGTGGAATGTATTTGGTAGCATCTGGACATCTATTATGGTCACAGGGTTCCCACATCTTTTGACCAATACATTTCCATAATTTATTTTCGGTCATTTGTGATTTCAGGAAAAGGATTTTAAAATAAGTTTTTTTTTGTTTTGTTTGTTTTTTGGATAATTTTATAATAAAATTGTATTAACATATTCATATAATATAATATATCTAAATGCATATGAATTACCACAAAGTCAACTCAAAAAGTTGTGGTAGTTTTTAAACAATAATTATATTATATTATATTATATTATATTATATTATATTATATTATATTATATTATATTATATTATATTATATTATATTATATTATATTATTTCATTTTATTTAGTGCTGGGAAATGATTAATCCCGATTAATCGCATCCAACATAAAAGTTTGTGTACTGTGTATTATTATTTTGTATATATGTGTAATAATACACACATGAATGTATGCATATTTAAGAAAAAATGTGTTTTTTATAATTTTCCACAGTACACACACATATATTATGTAAACACAAACTTTTATTTTGGATGCGATAAATCGTGATTTATCATTGCCCAGCAATTATATTACATTATATTATTATACTAGTGCCCACTTACCTGCTTTTCAGCAGGCGGCTTTATAAATTGAACAGGATTGGGAATTCACATGGCTTTTAATTACAGAACTCAGCACATCAAGCATCACACCAGTGGAGTTTTAAACTGAGGTGAAAGCATTCTGAAAGCAAAGTGATCTATTTTAGGTCAAAATGGCAGGTAAGGACAACACTTCGAGGACATGCATTTTGTCAGTCTGTTATTTAGAGCATAATATTGCATCCACCTCAAGGTGAAAATCGCCACCATCCTATTGATGAAAGACACTTTTTTTTTTTTTTTTTTTTTACTTTTTATAGGTTTTCCAGAAAAGAAAACTTTCAGTTAAACCTGAAAAAAAATAAAAATAAATAAATAAAATTATATATATATATATATATATATATATATATACAGATGTAGAGATTTGTCAATCATCACTGCAAAGGTTGATCTATGTATTTTTAGCAACAAATTATATGCCGAACGTTACCTGTAATCATTTTTAAAAATGAGGTTACTGGGAAAAACCAGCAACAAGATGAATTTGTTGAATCTAGTTTCATCCAAGAAAAGCGAAATAATATGCATATATACTTTTTTTTTTATACTTGTAACTTTCATTCTACAGTGACACTGACTGTCACTGCAGTATGATGAACTGTCATTGAGACTGTCTCTGTGTTTCTGATGATTTATAAGAAGTGTCAAATAAAATAAAAGATCAGCTTTCGGTATAAAGATATTCCTTTTGTATGATCACGTATCTGATCGCATCCAGCTGCACAGCATTGCTCAGGCATGATAGGAATATTTCGTGATGAGCTGTATTATCACCGGCGGTGCAGCATTTTCTATTCCGTCAAGATAGCTACGCCAAATGGCTTGACGTCTCTATACATGAAAAGGTGAAGAATGAGTGACAAATGTGGTTATGCAGTGTTATGCATGTCAGTGGGTGGCACCTGATGATGAAACACTGTGGGCGTCGCTCCTGCAGCATCATGTGATAAGCACGCTCAGCTGAAGAGAAGATATGAGGCGGGAGAGAGGAACACAGACGACCACTGGAGCTCAGATACAACTGACTGACCTGAGAGAGAGAGAGAGAGAGAGAAGCATTGCACATTTACATCACTGCTAATTTCCCATGACCTCTGGTTGTTAGTATTGCTGTTCTTCAAACACTCTGGTCAGGATTAGTACTAAACCTTTAAGCATTAATCTCCAGAAGTTAATTAAGCCTGAGGTGCTTAATGTAAAGACTTTTTAAATACTCTTCAGACATTTAAAACTTTATTTTGTGGACAATTTCAGGTCTTAGTCTTAGGTTTGCTATCTGATATTGCCTTTTGTAAATGTTGCATATGAGCAAGTTAAGAAATGTAATGTTAAAAAAAAAATGTAAAAATGCGACCAACCTTAATTACATCACTGTGATATTTGCACATGAAATTCTGACTAGTTTTTATTCTTACATCTACAATATGCATAATTAATTGTGATTGCTCTTTTCTTACTAGCATTTATTTGTTGTTTTGTTTTTTGCTTTGTGCAATATGTACCCAAATGTGTCATGCCAATAAAGCAATATGAATTGAGTAAAAACATAACCCTTTACCACTGTAGATGAACATTTCACTTTTCGCTTATGATAACCCACAATCTTGTGCATGGACAAAACAACAAGACAAAACAAACGAAAACATTTAAAAGACCCCAAAACACAACACACACACACAAAAAAAAACAAAAAAACGAACTGAAATCAAACCAAAACATAAAAAGCAAAACAAAAACCCCAAAACAATAAAAAAAAATGAGAAAAAAACCCAACATCAAAAAAAAAAAAAAAAACCTAAACAAAACGCAAACACCAAAACAATACAAACATTAAAAACACAAATTTAAATTGAACCTAACATTTTATTCTAGTTAAAAGTTAAAAATATATGTTTCATAATTATATGTTTCATAATTTAGTTTAGGCACTAGTGTATAGTTTGGATTTTAGACCGAAGTGAATGGAATTTATTGAAAATTAGCCTTACAGCATCACTTGGACAGTTTGAAGTGACAATATGGAGGCTGTGCACTGAAAGACAGCGACTGATATATAGACACTGGATTAAAGTATGTGATAAAGGGGGTCAGGTGATGTAACTTGAGCAGGATGGTGGTCTGAGACCAACATATGTCCTTCTCTCTCAATGTGTCATTCTGCCTCTGAGCCCCAATCTGGGGGGGGACACACAGGAGAAATCATGCCTGAAATGAGTCTCTGATGTAGGGGGCCAACAGGGGACAGACACCCCAGCAGATCAACTGCATATCATTTATAAAGTGTGTGTGTCCTATCAACTCCTCTGCTCCCCTTCACGTGCCAATAAACCGTTACGCCAGACAGATGGTCATCTTGTCATCTTTTATTTTTCTTAGCGGTGGGTGGCACATGCTGTGTTTCCCTGATGAGTGGACTCTGATCAACTCTGTCTTTTTGTGGACAGCCAGCTGTATCTGAGGGGACGGCAGTCGGGCTTGAGAACTTGAGAACCTTTACCAATGTTGAGGAAGATACAGAAATAAATAGAGGAAGGAGGAAGGAGGGGAGAAGATCTGATGGGTAGATGAAGAGGGCGCTGTATGTTGAGTAGGCTATCACTGTCAGGAAGCCCATGAATAATTTATCAGTGGATCAAGTCCTGTTTGAACTGGAAGTATTGCCCTGCGCATGGAGTGTGAACTAGAGAACAAATCCAAAGACAGATATACAGATGCACGTTCTGCAAATATTTATTTCACTAAAAAAACAAAAAACAAAAAAAAAAACACTTGTATGTACTTACAAGATTAGAGTAGATAGGAAGGTCCTTGTAAGGGTTAATGAGTAGAAGAATGTGTCCAATGTAGGTCTGGAAATACAGAGAATTTGAGTTAACATGTAAACAGTCCATCATATTGCACACAAATAATGACAAGAACTGCCTCAAATTAGTAGTTTCAAATTGATTGGTTGGTGCTAGACAACTACTGGGAGTCGGGGAACACCAGTCTCCTTCGAAATGTTGTCACGTATGCTGGGTTGATAAAATCAGGGCTTTTGAGGAAGAACTAATCTCTTTTTTTTTTGAGAAAGACTGCAGATTAACAGCATAAAATCTTTGGAAGATAATTGTCCGAGCCAATTCAGTTGGATATCAGTTTGGTTTGATTTCACGGTCGTGGTCAAAATTATTGGCACCTGTGGTCAAAATGGGGGGGACTATAAGTGTAGAAGGTTTTTATGATTTTTACTGTATTTCTGATCAAATAAATTTCAATGGCATCACCTATTTCAGATAAGCACCCTTAAACACCACCACAGAAAAACAAAACATCTCAATTGTATCCAGCATTATGATGGCACTCATGAGTCCCAAGTGTTTCAGTACAGGCCAACAGCCAGCCTCAATCCTTACTCGTCAGAATGCTCAATAACAAGCCAAGTTGCTGCTGTATAGTCTAGTAAGCGTTCAAGAGCAACCTGAAGGTCAATAACCTTTTAGTCTTAGATTCACAAAACATATGATGTTAACTGACATACTTTGCAAACTTGGGCTTTTTCTCAGAGGATCGTGAACCAACCTATTTGCTATGACAAGACTCCTGACAAGAACCTGGGGGTATGGAGGTATACTAGTCCATATTAGAGAAGCCTGTATCAACATCTTGAGGACAATGAACTAAATAAGCAACATTACACAGGACTTCTCATCTGCTGAGGGAAACATGGATCAATTTCCTCTAACAAAGAGCACGTCTGGCATCTCTCACTCTTTTCATCTCATGCTAAACGATCAGTAACCATCGCCATCTCGATCCATCATTGCAGTAATGACAGACATCATTAGACCCCATTAAAGTGTAACACAAAAGGCCCCATCTCTCCTCTCTCTCTCTTCATATCAGTAGGGAGACTTCATTATGCCCCATTGAAAAGTGTGGGAATAGCAGCGGCCATTAAGCACAGATTTGGCTCCGGTCATGAAGGAGCACAGTGTGTAGTCGACTGCCAGGCATTACGGACCCCGGGCCTGTTTGAACGATCCATGTTGAGGTAGGGGATGAATATAGAGATGGATTTATTCATTTAATCGTGTTCTGATTGATTACATAAGAAAAGAAAACTCTCCTTTAGGACAGAACAAGTAATACCTCATATTAAGAGAGGGTGTATATGTGTGTGACTGTAAGAATGGATGCTCTACTAACTTGTTCATGCTGAGAATTGCTCTTTAGAAATAAAAAAGCAATGTATCGTACAAACATGTACCGTAAACTGCCAACATTTATATATTTAACCATAATTTCTTGCAAATGCCACCAAAGTTAAAGGGATACTCCACTTTTTTGGCTCATTTTACCACTCCCCCAGAGTTAAACAGTTGGGTTTTACCGGTTGCGAATGTATTCAGCCATTTTTTTTTTAAATATATATATATATATATATATATATATATATATATATATTTAGAAGACTATCAGAAACCAGACAGTTTCTGGTCTCATTGACTTCCATAGTATATTTTTTTTCCTACTATGGAAGTCAATGAGACCAGAAACTGTCTGGTTACTGATATTCTTCGAAATATCAGAAAATCGGCTGAATGGATTTGAAAATGGTAAAACCCAACTGTTTAACTCTGGGGGAGTGGTAAAATGAGCCTAATTCCAAAAAAAGTGGAGTATACCTTTAAATCGCAAACATATAAAGAAAAATTCAATATATTACCCAGGCCCATCAATGACCCCTCATTATTCTAGCAACTTGGCAAGTCATTGTAAGTCATTTCACAAATATGAAAAGGTAACCTCAATCATAAAAGTCTTAAAGGTACATCGTGAAAAACAGATGAACTCAATTCTAAAAGCCCTATTTTAATGATTTAAGAACATGGTCTAAAGCGCAGGGCGTATACACTGAATACACTTTTACTAGTTTCACGATGGGAAAAATGGTTGGTGCACCCGGCTCATGGTCTAAAGGGGTTGTCCTTATTTTCTTATTGAGTAATAGCTGTGTTTTTGGCGTAACTTGCGATAAACCAATGAGAGTCTAATCTTTCATTCCCTTTAAAAGCCAGTTGCACTCACGTCATGGCGGGTGCTACAGTATTTACACATGGAATTTGATAGTCTCAAGAGAGCAAACGGATCTGCTCGTGCACGTGGTTAAAGCGTGCAAGCAGGCCATCTATGGGATAAGCTGGATTCCACCATATCTAAATGTACACAAATATAATATTTCACATTGTAATGCTTTTATTTTTAATATTTGGCATGTTTGTGTGCTGCTGCACATCCCTGTGTGAGTAATAAGCAGTGTTATATATAAAAAATAAATAAAAATACTACTGACTTTAGACCAGGTTTTTGTTGGTCAATGGCGCAGTCTATTTCAGTTGCCTCAAAATAGCAACAAGCCAACAATGTGCCTGAACACACCTCGTTTTCAGACCAGCACACCCATCGGCGAACAGATGGGCGCAAATACGTTTGCTATTTAAACAACATGACGCAGGACAAGAAAATGCTAACTGCGTCGGGCTGAAATTAGCAACAACAACAGCAAAAAATCATTGCGCCGGGTGTATGATAGTCAAAAAATACGGGAGCAAACGCTCATATAAAACTAAATCCCCAGTGATTGAAGAAAGAAATGTAAAACGTAGAATATGGCCCATTTAATATGAATAGTAGTAATGCAATTGGAAGTATCCATGGCGGCAGTAATTGAAAGGAAACTGATTCACTGCATGCGAATATGCTAACCTCCATACTTTAAAGTAGGCGAAAAATGGCATTTAGAGGCTTTTGCATCTGAACTCTTCATATAAAGTATGTGATTGAGTTAGTACCATTGTAGGATTAAAGTAGCATCATCAAGACAGAGGCCAAGATTTATAGCAGCAGCAGTCACGGCAGTAACAGAAGCAGTAACGACAGCAGCCGTTAACAGAGAGTCAATGTCTTTTCATCTCCCCAGGGCTGGATCAAGTCTTTGGCCTGAATACAGTGAGACCTAGAGGGCTGCCATCCAAACACCAGTCCCTGGACACACTACAAACAGAGGCCTTGGCTGCTCTCCAAGACCACAAGACAAGAGATCCAGCAACAATGAGTGTGCGAGAGGCAAACTGGACCGGATGGCTTGGTTAAAGACCACAGAGGGTATGATAGAGGCCAGAATCCGGATGTCGCCTCCCTCAGAGTGGGTTAAAACAGAGAATGAAGGACTCTTTCTAGAGGGGCTAGACTGAAGGTTGGCAAACCAAAGGCAAAACAAAAGCCCAATTATAGTACGTGTTTTTATATTTACATACATATATCTGGTCGTTGGCGAATCGCTTCTGCATCTCGTAGAGCAGGCTGCTGTCCGTGAGCTCGCTGAGGGATGCAAGGTCATCGTTAGGGGCAGGAGGCATCAGTTTAACCTGAAACACAAAACACATTATCATAAAAAAAAAAAAAAATCAATCAATCAATAATAATAAATAAAATCTCCATTTGTGTTCCACACATACAAAATAACAGCAATTGTAAATCATGCAAGAGACGTAAATAGTTAATGTTTATCTTTGGGCAAACAAACTATTAGCTGAACTATATTTTAATATCAGCTTTGGTTTTATTGTGGGCACGTTATTATAAAAAATCGGTAACAATTTAGTTTAAGGTCCAATTCTCACTATTAAAATGTTGCTTATTAGCATGCAAATTACTAGGATATTGGCAGTTCATTAGTACTTATAAAGCACATATTAATGCCTTATTTTGCATGACCATATTCTACATTCCTAATCCTAACCAATTCCTAAATTGAACAACTACCTTTCTAAATATTAATAAGCAGAAATTAGGAGTTTAAGTCAAAAGTCATAGTTAAAGGGATACTCCACTTTTTTTTTTGAAAATAGGCTCATTTTACAACTCCCCCAGAGTTAAACAGTTGAGTTTTACCGTTTTCGAATCCATTCAGCCGATTTCCTGATATTTAGAAGAATATCAGTAACCAGACCGTTTCTGGTCTCATTGACTTCCATAGTAGGGAAAAAAAAAAATACTATGTAAGTCAATGAGACCAGAAACTGTCTGGTTACTGTTATTCTTCTAAACATCAGAAAATCAGCTGAATACATTTGGAAATGGTAAAACCCAACTGTTTAACTCTGGGGGAGTGGTAAAAATGAGCCTATTTCCAAAAAAAAAAAAAAAAAGTGGAGTATCCCTTTAATAGTTCATTTTTTTAGAGTATTATGTTCACCAAGTGTCACATGATTCTTCAGAAATCATTCTAATTTAGCTGCTCAAGTACCATTTCTTATTATTATCAATGTTAAAAACAGTTGTGCTGCTTATTGTTTTCATGATTCTATGATATATGATTTTTTTTTTTTTTTACAACTTAATGCACCTTTACTAAGTAAAAGTAATTTATTACAATTGGAACGATTGTGTAAATGCATTGTGATTACATGTCATGTCCACTTTCTGCTTCCTAGCACACACCCATACACACTCAACTTTCAGCTCACACAGGCACTGCATGCCTGAGAGTAATGGAACTGATTTCCTCTGTTTTATCAGAGGTCAAGGGTGTGTAAGGTCAGAGTGTGCAGTGGGATAGATTACTAATGCTCTCTACATCCAAACTATGACTGATTCTACTCACTGCACACAGATAGCAAGGCAGGACTTTCCCAATGCATTAATCAAAAACCTGCCTTGGTGAAACAGGATCTAAGTGTATTAGACGTTACTCATTTATCTGTATTTCCCTTTTGAAATGAGACAAATTTCTTTGAATGTGCAAGACTAGTACAGAATACAATTGCTTTGTACAAGTGCATGTACAGTATGGGATCGGTTTAGTTTTATACTGTAAATTATTGTGGCAATTCATTGAAGCTATGCTTTGAAACCGACTTGTTTTTACACATTCTTTTCCCCAGAAAGTTCTCCTCTCTCCTCTGACCTGTTCCAGTTTTCCTGCAGTGCTGGGATACGGCCCATCCAGCCCGTTATCAAGTGAAGGCTGCTGTGTCAGAGCTCCTCCTGAGTCCCTGAACATGGCCTCCTTCTCCAACAAACTGTCCCTTCTAGAGATGGGTAGAGCCATAGTAGCTCTGAAGGAAGGGAGAAAAAAATATATATATATTACAAAAATTCATCTTTGCACTGCTGTGTTAGCACAGAATGCCACATCTGAGGTGGCATTTAGGCGTTATTTACACAGACTGTTTAATGCAGCTCAGAGGTGACATGAATGCATTTATACCTTAATTGCATATTCATTAGAGAAAATTTAGAAGCAAAAAATATTTTAAAAAGGTACTAATTTATATGAAAACCACTAGTAGCTGGTCTTAATGAGCAAGTCATTAAATCATTCAAAATGGCTGATTTATTCAGGTAATAAGCACGCGTATGAATAAGTCATTGAATCATTCACTCAAAACTCAGATTCATTTAGTAACAAAACACCACTGTGTGTTGATCAGAGATCCACAAATGGTTGTGTCGGGTAACTTTGTTTGAAGCTTTGCAAAATGAAGCAATAATGTCTCTAAAATATTAACATCTAGTTTATTGAACTATTGTATAAAATCAATCACATTCCAGCGACTAATATCTGGTGGGACTTTACTATTGCCTAACTTTATCATGTTATAAAATAAATGTTATAAATACATGTACTCATACAGAGAATTTGTTTTGTCTGCTGCTAGTCATTTCTTGATGTCATCTGAATTCTCTAAAATCTACAGTCCATGGATTGGCCAAACATTCACTGAAACAAGAATAAAGTCTGTAACTACTACATACAGTTTTTTTACAGGCAGGTTGTTGTCCTGGTTGGCCTCTGTGCAGTGCTCTTCTGATTGTGGAGGTGGGAACGAGGGGTCTGTCTGTCTCTGTACCCAGAATTCCTCTCCTCTCATCAGCATATCTGCAATCTGCTCAGTAGCAGCGATGTCTGAAAAAAAAAAATGTATAAATCATCTTACTGGAAGTCAGAAGACACTATAACAGAAGAGCTGATGCAAGCCAAATATAGATGAAGTTGATTTCAAAGAGACTTATTTTATTTATGTTTTGAAGTAAAAATCTTCAACATAAGAGTGACAACATTGGTTTGGAAAGGCAACATTATTTAAACAGTCATTTTTGGGTGAACTATTCCTTTTGAAGGAGAAGGCAAAGAGTTTGATCTTTTCAAAATCGGACAATTATTAGTGACTAAAGATGGCATTTATTATGAGCCACGATTTTCCCTGGGATCCGATCAATGTTCTCCCTCATTCCCTCTGTATGTCTCACCCCCTGCTGTCTCTCACATGGATGTGTCCGTTATGTGACGGGCATTGAGCCCTGCTGCAGATTGATCCATCTGTGCTCTGATTGGGGGGACGGAGGCGGATACTCATTCCCTCCTAAAAGAAACCCTAAGAGAGGATAAGGGACCAGCCTTTTGTCTCTCACCAAAAGAGAGTGACACCAAAAAGAAGGATCCTCTAATCGCACACATTCTCACATAAAGTCAGATATATACCACTGCTCTCTAAAAAGAGACTAAGTGAAAAGAAAGGATTTACTCTGGCTCTGCGTTTCACCACAGACATCCTTGAGTTAAGCTGGTGTCTTAGAATGAGTTATTGATTAGAGTCTGAGATGCGGAGCACTGGGGAAGGACTGATCCAACACCTTGCTGGAGGTTTAGTATGAGTCTCAAGTAGCACACTGAAAGACTGAGATCATAATCAATAAGTGTGTTGTTTTCCAGTAAAACATACATAAACAAAACATTCTAGGATACTTGACGCAAAGATGCTAAGACTTTTCAGTGAAGCGTGCTTCTTGCAATACGTTTATTCTGTCTTATCCCATTGGCAAATTATTTTTAATAACATGTTTTCCCTCTGAGGTTCCTCAAAACAAAAATAAACAAATAAAACATTTTCTAATATTTCTAATAATAATATTTAAAGCGATAGTTCACTTTGAAATTAATTTTTGATATGTTTTAAGCCTGGTTCACACTGGGCGATTTTAAAATTGTCGGCCGATTTTCCAAACCTGAGAGTCCCCACACACGGCGATAACAAATCACTGGTTTAACAGTTTTGGTCGTACAGTGTGTGGTGCGCAGCCACACGGCAAAATCAACACATCACACACAAACTGATTTGACTCACGAGCATTCCCAGGATTTTTTTTTTTTTTTTTTTTTTTTTTTTTTACAGTAATAAGTATCACTCAATGTCACTCGACACTCGATGTAAACATATACAGTAATTTAACATGACAAAAACACCATGTTGTTTCTCAATAACCTGTTTTTGCAGGCAAGTTTTCATAAATGACCTGTGTGGATTGGAAGTGTGACTGTTACAGTGTGTCTAGATAATACATCTAGCTTGTTTTATTTTAAAAGACCTTGTTTTTAAATGACATTTTCTTTCGAAACTCTTGGCTTGAATTAGTCGTGACAGTAGTACTGATATTAAGTATCCTGAGCCACAGGCTAGTGGAAGCAGTTTCACAGACATCAGCAGAGTAGCGAACAGAACTGAGTGAATCTACCCAGCTATGAATTATGCAAAGCCGGCAGAAAGCTCTAGAGAGGAAGAGCGGTCTAACACTCTTTAACACAGGGGCACAAGTGTGTGACACATCCCTGACAACTTTCTGTGTGGAAATCATAGAAACTTCATAGAAAAATCATAGAATACAAACAGTAATATCTGGTAGATTTAATATCCACATACTATGGATGGGGCAATAGGAAAAATATTCATATTGTATATTAAATAGAATAAATCTCAACATTTATATACACTTTTGCTCTGAAATTATTTGAAAGCGAATGAACTAAGAAGTAAGACAGTAAAAAAAAAACAGCTAGACATGTTCCTCACTGTTTCTCACCAAAAAAATATACTATGGTGATGATAGTGATTGATGGCACATACACATAAGACACTTCTGTGAAGATATAAGGTTTAGTAACACTATATCATTTAAATGTTTTGGCATGAGCATTTTTTTATTTATTTTTTTATAATAATATTATTCATCAGGGACGCATTAGTAAAGACATGTATAATGTTACAAAAAAAGATGACGTGATGGCCAATATTTGGTTGAAAATGTATAAGAAGAAATGTTTCTTGATTCTGAAGGATCATGTGACACTGAATACTGCTATATAAATATAAATATATATATATATATATATATATATAGCCAAGTAAAAAAGCTGCATATCAGAAAGCGCATGAATAGTGAATGGAATATTTTTTTCCAGAGTCAAATGTTATTTGCTCTCCAAAACTGAAGCCTGCTGTTTCACACTATCACGTCTCCAGTTGTCTCCAAGTCGTGTCTCAAACAAAGACTTGATTCTTGACAATATGTCAAACATTATGGGGTTTCTAGTCGTCTTTTTGTTCCTGCTTCTCAATGTCTAGCATCTTTTAACTCATGAATGCACACTACACGGGTGATGGGCATATAATGCAATCTGGGACTGCATCTGTCAAGTACACTACCAGTAGAAAGTATCATCTTATGCTCACCAAGGCTGCATTTATTTTATTGTATAACAATCATGTGAAATAATTTGTTACAATTTAACAAAAACTATTTTATATTTAAAACTATTAAAATGTAATTTATTCCAGTCTTCAGTGTCACATGATCCTTCAGAAATCATTCTGATACGTTGCTCAAGAAACATTTCATTGAATTATCAATGCTAAAATCAGTTATGCAGATTCATATATTTTTTTTTTTTTTTTTTGGAAACTGTGATACTTTTTTTTTTGTTTCATTGATGAATAAAAAAGAAATAAAAACAACAACATTTATTTGTTAAATTGAAAGTAAAAAAAGATAAATTACAATATGCATAAGGAAAAGGAAGCCCATATTATGACCTTATTTTTCGCATTTCTAACATAACTGTACCACATTGTCTCCCCAATTCTCATGACTGTAATATGAACATACAATAACAGCCTTGTATTAATTTTGTATTACAGTAATTGTTGACTTGTACACTTAAAAATATTATAATACTTGAACGATAATTTAATAATTATGTTCTACAGACAGACACCTTCCAGCAACGAGAATTTGAATAGAAAAGGGATGTAATATATACAAGATATCAACATCAGTGACATTGGTCGACCACATTGTATGTGTCTCTGTACCTGAGGGCTTGTCCTGGTTGGAGTTCAGTAGAGTTGGATCTGCTTTGTGCTTCAACAGCTGGTTCACAATGTGGGTCTGTAGGGATACAAACACACATCCATGACTTGAGAGGAACTCAAAGAGAATACTGAAATATGTAGGTCACATCTTAAAGACAGCTGAGTCTAATCTACAACATCATCGGCTCTGCTCCTGCCTCCAATGCCAAACATATGCCAACATCTTGCATGCACACCCTCAGCAGTGTGTTCATCAGCTACTGCCTGCATACAGATATACACATATTTCTTTACTTGTCTTTTTAATTCAGTTACTGTTCAACTACTTGCTTTACACACACACGGACACACACATACTGTTCTGGCACTATACCATAGTATTTTAGACTCAACATTGGAGTCATGCTGCAGAAGTGTGTGAGACTGCGTGTACATACAGTTTGATGTATTATGTATGTGTGCGACCAGCTTTGGGGATAAATATGGCAGAATAATTTGCAAGATGGCAGGTGACTTCATTCGAAATTAACCCTGATCCTTCCCTTGGGTCATTTTGAAAATTTGAAAGATTGAGTGTTCAGAGGAGTCCAAGGACTTTTGTCGCTCTTGAACCATGAATATATGGATATTTTGGATGGATATATACTATACTATGGACATTTTTTGGTCCCCGTTACGAAATGTACTAACCTAAAACCTTAAACTCACAAAAGAAACAGAGTGAGGAAAGAGGAAAAAGGAAATCAGAAATATGTGTATGTAGGCAAGAATGTCCTGAGGGACAAAAAAAGAACAAAGGAGAAGAAAGAAAATGCTCTTCATCAGCAACCTGAAACATTATCAAATATTTGGCCATGTCAGCAGGTTCGTCCTTTCTTCCAGAAATCAATCTCCAAACACTGTTATTTCACTCATATAAAACACATTAGTTCTTATGTGATCCTCAACGCTTGAGTCCATCTGGCTGGGAATTGGTAAGATCAATGCAATGTTGAAGTCTCATTAATCAGGAACAGGAAGGGAGGGTGATATAATGAACTGTACACAGTCTATGATAACTCTAATATCGATACATTCTACAGACCGTGAACAGCAGTGATCTGACATCAGAGCTAAACACAAGAAAGCAGGAATATTGCACGTTATATATATTCAATTAAAACATTTGTTTGTGTACCAATGCAAAATAATGTAACATGTATTTATTTTTTGTATATATTTAAAGGAATAATTACTACAAAAGAGACTACAATACAAACAATGTATTAATGTTATTGCTGGACAATGATTAATCGTGATTAAATCACATCCAAAATAAAGGTTTCTCCCAGACGTTTACATTTCTGAACGTTTTATGAGACACGCATCAAACTCATGTCAATTCGTGTCCGCCTGGTAGATCAGCACGTAACAATTCAACTGTGCGCATCTACCACACACAAAATATCATTTTTTTCTGACTATATAAATTAATAATTTGTTTATTTGTATAGCAGTGCAGATTAAGGCAATATGTTTTTATGTAAATATTTAAAGGAAGAATTAAAGCAGGAGACAGTTTGTCATGTAGAAACATTCCTAAAATAACTAAAAAATAAAAAAATAATCAAGCACTTGCAAAGCCGTGGTTTAGCCATTTTGACTGGACATTGTGATTTCAATAAATGAATGTCCATAAGACAATGAGTGCTGTGTTATGATATGTACCTGCCCATATTTTGCAGCCAGATGTAAGGGTGTCCAGTAGTTGTTGTCAAACACCTGGACATCTGCACCGTTCTCCAGCAGCACTGACACCACCTCCTTATAACCACTGGCACTGGCGATGTGTAGCTGTAAACACAACATACAAACAGAAGCATTTAACAGGTCATGTTTCATTTGGACAAAAGCCTTCCCATTCAAAATCACCATCTGTACACATTACGTTTAGAGATCAGTGAACCGTTACATATTTTGGATTTCATGTATTTTCTCACCAGCGTGACCCCGTCATCATTTTGTTGATTGACGCTGCCCCCGCTGCTGACCAGCTGCCTCAAGTCAGACATCATGGTGGATGAGCGCTGGGTCTTCATCTGGTGCATAGAGCTCATGTCCACTCCTAACATACACACAGACAGGTGTCAAAGTGAGGAGGACATCAGGACAGATGTCATATGACAGAGCTCTTATTCAGCAGTGTATGGGATCATACAGGATGGGATATCTCTCTGTATCCTAAAGAATGAGCACTAGTTCTAGCTTAGCTAAAGAATGAGCACTAGTACCCAAATAATAAGCACAAGTACCTAAAGAGTAAGCACTAAAACCTAAGGAATAAGCACTAGCAGCTAAAGAATAAGCACTAGTACCCAATTAATAAGCACAAGTCCCAATGTATAAGCACTAGTACCCAAAGAATAAGCACTAGTACCTAAAGAATAAGCACTAGTACCTAAAGAATAAGCACTAGCATCTAAAGAATAAGCACTAGCAGCTAATGAATAAGCACTGGCACCCAAAGAATAAGCACTAGTACCTAAAGAATAAGCACTAGCAGCTGATGAATAAGCACTAGTACCTAAAGAATAAGCACTAGCAGCTGATGAATAAGCACTAGTACCCAATGAATAAGCACTATTACCTAAACAACAAGCACTAGCAGCTAAAGAATAAGCACTAGTACTCAATTAATAAGCACTAGTACCCAATTAATAAGCACTAGTACCAAAAGAGTAAGCACTAGTCCCTAAAGAATAAGCACTAGTACCAAATGAATAAGTACTAGTACCAAAAGAGTAAGCACTAGTACCTAATCATAAACACTAGTACCTAAAGAGTAAGCACTATTACCTAAAGAATAAGCACTAGTACCTAAAGAGTAAGCACTAGTACCTAAAGAATAATCACTAGTACCAAAAGAGTAAACACTATTACCTAAAGAGTAAGCATTAGTACCCAAAGAATAAGCACTAGTACCCAATTAATAAGCACTAGTACCTAAAAAGTAAGCACTAGTACCTAAGGAATAAGCACTAGTACCTAAGGAATAAGCACTAGTACCTTATGAATAAGTACTAGTACCAAAAGAGTAAGCAATAGTACCTAAAGAATAAGCTCTAGTACCTAATCATAAGCACTAGCACCTAAAGAGTAAGCACTATTACCTAAAGAATAAGCACTAGTACCTAAAGAGTAAGCACTAGTACCTAAAGAATAATCACTAGTACCAAAAGAGTAAACACTGTTACCTAAAGAGTAAGCATTAGTACCCAAAGAATAAGCACTAGTACCCAATTAATAAGCACTAGTACCTAAAAAGTAAGCACTAGTACCTAAGGAATAAGCACTAGTACCTAAAGAATAAGCACTAGTACCTAATCATAAGCACTAGTACCTAAAGAGTAAGCACTATTACCTAAAGAATAAGCACTAGTACCTAAAGAGTAAGCTCTCTTACCTAAAGAATAAACACTAGTACCTAAAGAGTAAGCACTAGTATCTAAAGAGTAAGCTCTCTTACCTAAAAAATAAACACTAGTACCTAAAGAGTAAGCACTAGTACCTAAAGAATAAGCACAAGTACCTAAAGAGTAAGCTCTCTTACCTAAAGAATAAACACTAGTACCTAAAGAGTAAGCACTAGTACCTAAAGAATAAGCACTAGTACCAAAAGAGAAAGCACTATTACCTAAAGAGTAAGCATTAGTACCCAATTAATAAGCACTAGTACCTAAGAAGTAAGCACTAGTACCCAAGAAGTAAGCACTAGTACCAATGAATAATCACTACTACCAAAAGGGTAAGCACTAGTACCTAAAGAATAAGCACTAGTACCCAATGAATAAGTATTAGTACCCAAAGAATAAGCAATAGTAGCTATGATAAATGATAAATTAATGATAAATGAGATCTCTGACAGCAGCCCAGAAACGCGTGTCTGTGTCTGACCCTACCATTCTCCTCCAGATGTCTGATGAGGATGTAGCTGGTTTCCGTCCCCTCAGTGGCGTAGTCAAGTGGAATGTTTCCGTTCACATCCTGCAGGAGCACGTTGACTCCAGTCTTCAGAAGAGGTGTGATGGAGAAGGGGGAAGGGGAGATGACAGTCAGATAAAGCAAAACAAGACATAAACAAATCGAGTCCCTCTCGCCCCATTCATCAGTCTGCAATCGATGATAAACTACGGCCAATTATCACACTTTCCCAGCATTCCCCAGGCACCCGAGCTCAGGGATGAGCTACATTAACAGAAAATAGAGCGTTAACTAACTCATTAAGATAGGGGCAGGTTAATAGGGTCTACGGTGCGGTGTTGAGTGTCTAGGTGGCAGGGGGTGATGTGATTTATGAGGGTCTGCTCTCTAGTGACTCCAGACAGAGATAAGACTCTTTACGAGCCGAAAGCATGACATTGGGTTAAGGCTTTTGAGCATGTGGAATTTTTATGGATACTGTAATGGTCTGAAAATGATGCTGACGTCACCATAAGCAAACGAACGAGAGCTGAGTAAAGAAAGGGGCTTCACGGTCATGAAACAAACCTACCGGTATCTAATATCAAATATTGGTGTGGCTGTGGCATTTAGTCCTTGTCTGTTAGCTTTAATGTAATCTGTAATACAGCTTGTAACACAAAAATAACATTTCAGAAGTAACAGTCTCTTCTGGAAAAACTGAATAAAAAAACATGAATCACTCCTATTACATTCAGGATATCCAATGTTTGGTCCAGTCTGTAGTTTTCCAAAGTGTAGTCCAACAACCAAGACAGAAACTGAAGGCTGTTGGTTAATAGGTCTAATCCATATTTCTTGTTTCAAGTAAGGGATAATGTACATCCAGCTGGTTGTTATCTCAGAATAAACCCTGACAGGGTGATCTGGATCATCTTGCATTAGCCTGAAAGGGTTTATTCTGAGATAACAACCAGCTGGATGTACATTATCCCACTTATTACATGGCTACTTGCCACATAAGTAAATAACTAGACATGACATATTGATCTGAGTCAGGGACGGATTATGACATGTAAAGGCCCTGGGACCAGGTATCTCAAAAGGCGATGGGACCTTCATATTCACATAGGACCCAAAAGGAAGTTCCACGGAGCCCTCAGATACAAAGAGCCTTGTTTAAGAGGCCTTGTGTACAGTAGGCTACTGGCCGCATATATTACAGCATTAATAAACATTAAGTTTTCATTGTTTATGGTTTTCTGAACCAAACTGGATTGTGCAGCCTTAAAGGGTTAGTTCACCCAAAAATGAAAATTCTGTCAGTATTTACTCACCCTCATATTGTTCCAAACCTCTATGTGTTTATTTGTTCTGCTGAACACAAAGGAAGATATTTGGAAGAATGTTTTAATCAAACAGATCTCAATCCCCATTGACTATGATGGGGATTGAGATCTGTTTGATTGAAACATTCTTCCAAATATCTTCCTTTGTGTTCAGCAGAACAAATAAACACATAGAGGTTTGGAACAACATGAGGGTGAGTAAATTTTGGGTGAACTAACCCTTTAAACCCCATGACCCCCCGGGCTTCTGATGGCCCCAAAGGCCCGGTCAGTAATCCATCCCTGATCTGAGTTTAAATATTTTATTAGCTATTTAAACACAAAGCTTCTGAAGAGAAAGCAGTTACTAGCGAGGAACTAGATGGACATGTAAGGGATACAGTACATAGCGGTTCATTCCACTTATTTTTAGAGGGCATTTCACCACATAAATAGTTATGGGGATAAGAGATACTGAGTTGAGATGAAACTGTTTTAAAATCGTATCCGTTTATCTTATAATCCAACAGTGCACAAAAACAATAGTCTCAAAATGGCAGCAGCTGCGTTAGGTTGATTCTGCGATACCGGATGACAGGCCTAATTAAATAACTGTACACAAAATATTGATTTGACAGTTTTAATATTGTATTAGCTCACCAGAAGCGAAGCTTCCACTAGTAAAAAACATTCCTAGCAATCCTATAGCGCCAACTTAAGTGACAGATACCCAGATGAGCCTGTGTTACTTTTTAAGTAATTGGGGAATAACATACTGTACCACTGGATGGCGCGATTGACCAATCAGAATCGAGTATGCCACAAAGCCGTGTAATAAAAAGAAATAAGTGAAAACAGAAAAAAAAAACCATGCTTGTCAAGCTATTTGATGGAGTCTTTAACGAAAGGTCTGTTAAATGACTCAAATACAAATGTAAGTACCACTAATGCAGGTAAGGGCCAAAACATGATTCTAAAGACCACATTAGCACTGCACTAAACAGAAAGAGAGAGAGAGATCAGGATGGCGGCATGACATTTAAAATACAAAACTTCATTTCAACTTCAGTGGATTTACAACTCTCTCTCTCATAATGGCCCGCGTGTAATTAAAGCTGCAAATGGCACGTCTCCATCTGACTGGCTGGAGCATAAAGGCATCATGACAAAGATGCAGCTTATTGTCTCTTTTCCCAGCATGCCTTTCAAATCCAGCCATCAGCACATTTGGACTGGGGAGGTTGTGTCAATCACGCATTGAGGTTAACACTAGGTTAATGAATGTATTAATTAACATTAACTATCAGCAGCTCCTTTGTCTGCAATTATGAGCGATGGCTTTTTAGGATACGCCCACCCCCACATAATTGTCCCCATAATGTAGGGTTCACCAGACCACACACACACATACACGCACACAATGCTCCAGAGAGCACTGACGGATCTGGCACTGTGTCACAGGATTGTGTCATGACCTCTTCCCTGACATCTCACACACACACTACACCACAGTCCTCCAACTCACTGGGGATGCAAAGAGTTTGCATTGCTGGTGATTCATCGATCCGTCTGGCGTGGAACTGTTATTGAACAAGATGTGAATGGTTAAAGCAGGAGCATGTGTGAATTGATTAGGTGGGGTCAATGTGAAGTCTCATTGGTGGTGATGAGTGTGTGTGTGCTGCTGCCCTTCACACTGAGAGAAGAGGTGATGAAGCCGTCAACGTTGCGTCCTCTGATCGACAGAATGCACCCAGTCCTCCGTGGCAAACTAAGACCTAATCAAGTGAAAACTAAACTGTTTATAAATGTGTTTAAAAAAAAAAAGCAGCAAGTCATGTGAATAGAATAGGATATTTTGAGGTCAGTAAGATGATAAGTAAAAATAAAATAAAATAAAAATGAAATGCAAAAAATGTAAAAAATTAAAACGTAATTTATTTTTTTGCGATGTAAAGCTGAATTTTCAGCATCATTACTGCAGTCTTCAGTCCCATGATCCTTCAGAAATCATTATAATATGTCATTTAATTATTTAATATAATTATAGTTGTTCAAAACAGCTGTGCTGCTTAATATTTCAGTAAAAATAGAATTTTTATTCTTTCCCAGTTCAATCCATGCTTAACTGAAAATAAATACATAATTCATAATTCATTACATTTATATAGCGCTTTTCTCAGCACTCAAAGCGCTTTACATAAACACACACACACACACACACATATATATATATATATATATATATATATATATATAGTGTATACCTGAATCTCCCTCTCTCTCACACACACACACACACAAGTTCAGCTAAGGTGTGCTTCAGAGGCCACAGTAACTGAACCTGACAGTACAGAGGACTGCAAAAGAGAGAAACGACAAATCATGTCAACAAAGGAGAAAGAGATGAAACATCCTCTCTGGGAAAGCAAAAAAAAAACCAGAAAACAAACAAACAAACTGTAGACACTTTCCTTTGACTGCACCAGGAAACAAGGACAATCCCGTAACGTAATTACATCTAATCTGCATGATGATGGCTGCCTGTGTCTCATTACAGGGCTTTGAGCACAGGCTTAATTGCCTTTGTTCAATTTAATCAGTTATGATAATAGGCTAATAGCAATGCAAGTAAATGAGAAAGCAGCTAACTTTTGAGCAGACTTGGAAAACTTCAGAACATCTGCATGGTTCACTGGTGTAAATTCGACATCTTTTACCTTGACAAAATTCTTCTTGCACCGCAAACAAGTGTAATTATGACCACAGTCCACCTCTCACTGACCGTTACAATCAAAAAGAGCCCAATGGAATTAGTGGTACTGTGTACACTAGGTGTGACGTGACATAACACATACGATCAACAACAAACTGATGCCTTGTTCTATTACTGACATATTCATGTTTGCACTAATTCCAGCAAACAAGTTCGCTTTGAGGATTTTTGTGTGAGGGCAAAATATTTTCCCATGAAGATTTCAGAACTGGGAATTGGGAAACAGTTCCATAAGCCCTACCTACTGGCATTCACTGGTTTTACAGATTTATTGAGTCAGTCTAACGTTTGATCAGAACAACGTGAAAGTCGCATCGAGAGCACACGGCTCCTGAGGTGGATCATTCAGATATTGGACAATCTACATCAAATTGAATATGACCCACAACTGGAGCCGATTTAAAAAAAAAAAAAAAAAAATACCAGTGAATAATACTATACACTATAAAGCCATGTCTGTTTAGTTGGAAAAGCAGCACGGAAAATCATTTTCCTCCCCATGACGTCAATTGAATGTAGGTTTGTTTCTTCAGGGAGTAATCCTCATAGAAATGACTAAGCAATGAAAGCTAATGAAGCCTTACCTAATGCAGTTCTTACCTAAATGAAATAACAGATGAGACTGAGATTGGCAGACTAACATAGTGCCTCCTAAATCCTGACTCTGACTAATCCTAAAAAATAGGTCGTCATGGTCTAGTTTTGGAAGCAGGATGCAGTAATGGAGGAAGGAACGCGGGAGATGCAGAGGGAGAAGGAGAGAGCTAGCCTGAAGTGAGAGTGTGTGTGGGAGATTCAGACCTAAAGCATTGCATATTGCACAGCAGAGATAAGAGCATTATCAGACATAACATGAGGGAAAAACAAAGAGGCTGAAATATACAACGGTTGCATTATTCAAAAAAAAAAAAAAAAAAACGCATATTAGTCAAGGAAATGAGGTTTCAAGTTTCAGGGTGAATCAATCAAGCACACACACTCTCTCTCTGATAAACACAAACACA